CTGAGTTGCTTAACCAGCCCAGAAAGTTCCAGAAACTGACACTCGGCTGAGTCCAGCACCAAAGACGCACACTTGGAAGAACCGCGTCCTTTGAGCCAAGAGAAACCCATTAGCTTGTGGTTTTCAAAAGGGCCTTTAGATAAGAAGCAAACCAAGGTCCCAGGACACACGATGGGTTTTGCTGTCCTGAAAACGCCTGCAGGAAGAGCAACATAAACGGAGCGCTTGTTTTGCAACGTCACTCCAGACCAGAAGCGCTCGTGAGTCTTCAGACGCCTGGCGCCACGGTGTCCTCGCCTAGCATCTGGGCTCGTGCCCACACCACCCGCCTTGGGTCCCAACAGGCACAGTGGGAAAGAATCTGGCATCCCTGTGCTGCCGGCCCGGCCTTGGCGGATGAAATCCTCCAGTTCCATGCCCGAGACCAATGCTCACTCTTGGCTCCTTCCACAGCTCCGCTCACCCTTCACCCCGATGGCTGGCCTGCTCCATGCTGGACCCCGGGACCTCCTCACTGAGCTACTGCTCGAACCTCGTCCCCATGCCTGGGTCCACCTTACTGTCTCCATTCGGCAAACGGACTATGTCCCCTCCACTGTTCAAAACCCTCCAGAGGACCCGACTCCTCTAGAGCAAAGACCCCCATTCTTATCGTGACGGCCCAAATCTCTCTCCCTACCCCCCAACAGTGCTGTGACCTTGACCACCTCCACTGCCTGGCCCTGTTCCGGCCTCTCAGGACACACTGGTCCCTCGGCTGGCCCGAAACCACGCTGGGAATGCTCCCTGTTTGTTCTGAATTTTTTTTCTTTTTAATTTGGAGACCAGAACTGGTGGTGCTCAGGGCTTACTTAGCTCTGCACTCTGTTACTCCTGGAGAGCTCCAGGGATTGTAGGTGGTGCCAGGGACAGAACCCAGGTGGGTCATGTACAAGGCAAACACCCAACCCTCTATGCTACTGTTCCAGCCCCAACGCCTCCTCCTCGGTGCCACTGGCCTGGCCTTTCCTCTGCCTGGACACCCACATGCCCACTCACCCACAGGGCAGGCACTGACCCGGGACCTGCTCTCCCTGCAGCCCAGTCCCTGCCCTCCCCAACCTCCCCCACTGCAACACAGCAGGGGTCTAGCTGGGGGGGGGGGGTTCTGCCCACTGAGCTCCTTGGCTGAGCTGCAGAGTAGGACTTTCTGGTGCCCTACAGTACCAGTGTTTACAACAGCATCATCCAGCACAATGTTCTCTTTCTAAAAAATCCACTTATTAGGGAAGACATAGCGATGGCACCATGGGTAAGGTGCTGGCCTTGCACACAGTCAACCCGGGTTCCATCCCTGGCATCCCATATGGTCCCCTTGAGCCCACCAGAAGTGATCCCTGAGTAGAGAGTCAGGGGGAAGCCCTGAGTACCACCAGGAATGGCTTGTCAAAAAAAAATTAAAAACGCTTTTGATTGTTGGGGGGCGGGAGGGGGTTACCAGGGACTGAAGCCAGTCCCTCACACATGTAAAGTCTGCTCGGCCACTATCCTATAGCCTTGGCCTTCAAAAAAAAAAAATCACTTCAAAACAGTGCTCAGGGCTTACTCCTGGCTCGGATTCAGGCATCACCCCTGGTGGGGCTAATGAAACCATACGTGGTGTGAGAAGTCAAATTCAAGTTGGGTGCATGCAAATAAGTGTGTGTGTGTGTGTGTGTGTGTGTGTGTGTGGCTGTAAGTATACAGACATAAAACTGGGTGCCCCAAGAGATGGTACAGAGAGTAAGGTGCCTACCTTGCACATGGCCTACGTGGGTCTAATTCCTGGTAGGGTCCCCTAAGTCCTACAAGGAGTGGGTCCCTGAGCACTCAGTCAGAAATAAGCCCTGAGCACTGCCAGGTGAGGCCCCAGTTCCTCCTAAAAAACAGAGAGATTTAACCTTTTTACCTAGTCTTCAAAAGTCCAGTGTTTCATACCCATACATATCTCCAGAGCACAACAGAGCCCCATGGCTAGTGACCACCATGCTGGCCAGCACAACACGAGAGCACTGCCCAGCACAATCCAGGCACTTTTGAATATTCAAGGCGCAAAGCGAAAAACCTTTTTCCCAGGGGCAGCAGAGAAAATGGAGGGTTTTCTGAACTTCACTTGCATTCAACACTCACAATCGTCACACTTTTGATACTTGAAACAAGGTTTTAAATTTTGAGGTCCCGTTCTGCTGTACTCAGACTCCTGGCTCTGTGCTTGGGGAGCACTCCTGGGACGCATTGGGGCACCACGTGGGGTGCCAGAGATCAAACCTGTGTCTGCTGCATACAAGGCAAACATCTCACCTACTGAGCTATCTCTGGCCCTGGAAAAAAATAATGTTTTTTTAAAGGTAAAACTTAAGGGTCAGAGAGAGATGTCAGTGGGCTGAGGGTAGAACACCACCGGCACCACATGGTACTCTGAGAGCACTGGGAGCAACTCATGACAAACAGTGACCTCCCCCCACCACCCATACAGAGGTGTGTATGACAAAGAAAATTTTTAAAGAAGCTTTCGGAACCAGATGTGTCATAGCATTAGAGCACATACCCTGTCTGTATGTATGTATAGTATAGAACCCAGGTTTGATCACAGATAACAAGCAAAAAAAAAAAAAAACTTGTGGTTGAGGATGCAGCTTCGAGATAGACAGCAGGCCTTGTGAAAGTGAGGTCCTGAGTTTGATTCACAGTATCACCAGAAATATAAATAAATCAAACATATTCTAAGGGGCTGGAGAGACAACACAGGTGTTAAGGCAGAGTTGCCTTGCACATAGCAAGGGTTCCAACTCCAGCACCACATACGGTTCCCTGAACAGCGCCAGGTATGATGGGGGGGTGGGGGGGGGAACCACACAAAACCGAAAATAAAACTTTAGGGCTGGAGAGATAGCTTAAAAGGCCAGACAGACCACAGGCTTTGCCTTCAGGATGCCCAGGCTGGATCCCTTGTACGGCATGGTCCCCAGAGCACTGCTGGCAAAGGCACAACAATTCTTTAGAAATTAAAAAAATAATAAGTCTGGAGGCTGGAGCAATAGCACAGCGGGGGGTAGGACATTTGCCTTGCATGAGGCTGACCCGGGTTCGATTCCCAGCATCCCATATGGTCCCCTGAGCACTGCCAGGGGTAATTCCTGAACACAAAGCCAGGAGTAACCCCTGTGTATCGCCAGGTGTGACTCAAAAAGCAAAAAAAAAAAAAAAATTAAGTCTGGATTTGGGCTTGTGCTTCTGTTTAACTATTCCCTTCTTCTAGAATTGAAAGCAAGACCTTCACTAGGCCTCGGTTTCTTCATCTGTTCAACAGGGACAGTACCAACCAGCCCAGAGAGTGGTGTGTATTACAAGAGCTGTTGGTAGGAGCTCCTGAGGAGAATGTACAAGGGCTTGAGGCGACAACCTAGGCCTTTTTCCATGACCCAGATTCGATGCCCCGAAACCCCACAGGGAGTGACCCCTGAGCCGCTCCCTGAGCACAGAGCCAGGAGAAAGCCCTAAGCACGCATGGATGGCTGTAAACTTCGAGCTTTTATGACAGGAGCTAGGGCTTGCTTTAAACCCAGAGGTCTTCACTTCCAGCTACGTAACCTTCAGGAATCCCTTTCTTCACCAAGCATGAACCAAGTGCCCACAACCTGCTGGGCACTAAGGTAAGTAGACAAACAAGAACTGTGCCCTTGAGAGATTTGCAGGAAAAGGAGACCGGTAAACAAGAAAGAGAGCAAAACCAAGTCGTCGCTCAAAGGACTGTTTATTCACCGTGAAGTAAGAATAATATCTCCCAGCCTAACTCACGGGGACGCTCCAAAAGTTCCTAGTTTGACATTCCCCCAAACAACCCAAACACACTGACGCCCGTAATACATCTGCAGAGTACCAGTGTTTCCCTAACCTAGAACCCTCCCAATGGCACTGGCTCCAGCCAAGGCCGAGTCTGGACATCCAGCGTGTCCCGGTGCATCAGTGACACCCATTTCCCTTCCGACATGTCAGCTCACAAGCAGCCCAAGACGAGAAACAGCCCTCGACACGGGTGTTTAATCTCAAAATCACCGCCTGCGTCACGGTCCCAAGCAACACAACGCAGACCTCTCGAGTCACCCTACCTAGGGACAGCTCGTGCAGATAAGCAATCCCTATGGCCGGGGCGGCTGAATAATTTAGACTGAAAAGAAAAGAGGAAAAGTCACACAAAGTCGCAGCCACCTGTCCTAGGTTTCGGCGAGGCTCGCCTCCCCCCGCCCCCCAACATACACACATACACACACTCACTCCCCCGCACCTGGCCGAGGTCGTGGGCACCGCGGCCGGCAGGCTAAGTCGCGCGTGGACACTGCTGCGCGCCCGCCGACTTTCTCTTAAGTCTCCAAGTTGATGTGATCTGGGGACGGAGACCAGGTCAGAGAAAGAAGAGCCGGAGGGCTCAGATGCCCCACAAGTGGAAACACCCTCCTCCCCAGGCGGGTAAGTGGGTGTGACGGAAGCACGGCGCTGACGATCCGGGGAGCCCTCCAGAAGTTTCAAAACTGCAGGGGCCCGACGTGCAAGTCTGCGAGCGGCTGCGTTTGCAAAGCCCGTGCGCTGGGGGGGCGTGGGGGGAGGTGGCGCGGCTCCCCCTGCAACCGGTCTGCGCCCTCCCCTCGCGACCCCCGGCCCGCCGCCCTGGCTCCCCTGCCCTGCGACCCCCACCCACCGACCACCAACCCTCCCCGGGTCACCGCCCCTCCAGCCCCCCCACCCCGGTCCCCCACCCGCGCACGGCGCACCCACCCCGCACCGGCAGGCGGGAGCCGGGACACCCCTCCTCGGAGGCCGGAACCGCCAGCCAGGCCCCTCCCACAGGAAGCCGCCGCCCCCCGGCGCCCGGGCCCCGCCGCCCCCCCCCCCCGGCCCCGGCCGCGCCGCCCGCCGCCCCCCGCCCCCGGCCCGGCCCGCCCGCCCCGCGCGCCCGCCGCGCCCCCCGCGCCGCCGCTCGCTACCTGCCGCGGCCACACCGGCGGCGCCAACTCCTCGGCCACTTCCGCCTTGCACCGCCCGCACTCGGCGCGGGTCACGTGGCCGCGCGCGGTCACCTGACCCGGAAGAGGCTGGCCGGCCCGCAGGTGTGGGCCACCTAGGAGGGCCGGTTCCGCGCGCGCCCCGCCGCCGCCGCCGCCGGGCGTCCTGGGCCGCTTTTCCCTCGGAACCCGGAGGCCTCGCGCTCGCCGCCCGAGCCCCGCGCCGGCGAATACGCCGAGGCTCCGCCGAGCGCCCCGGTGGTGCCTCCGGTCCAACCCGGAGGCCGCCGGTCTCCCCACGGACAGGTGGCAAGAGGCCTTTTCCGCATCAACCGCTTGGCAGGTCCGACAGGTGACATACACAGTTCGCCCAGGTGCAGCTGGCTTCCAGATCGACTCGCCCGTAAGCTGTATGTCCCCGATGCTGCGTGAGACATATGTATGTGAATGCTCATGTCTACCAAAGCCTCATCGGGCAGCTGGTGGTTTGTTTTTGTTTTTGTTTTTGTTTTGTTTTGTTTTTTGCTAAGCCCAGCATACCTACGCCTGCGATGTATCAGACAGCATACTAGGCTCCAGAAACGCCAAGAGCACGGCCGTGGTGAATGGAGTCTCTGTCCTTGCGACAACAATAGATGGTCTTCAGAACGTGTCCAACACAAAATCAGCTCATAAGGGTAGATTTAAGGACCCGGAGAGAGAGCACAGTCGGTAGGGTATTTGCCTTGCACGCGGAGGATGCGGCCCCCTGAGCACCGCCCCGAGTAAGTCCTGAGTGTACAGTCAGGAGTAACCCCTGAGAACCGCCAGGTGTGCCCCCACCCCCCAAATAAAGGTTACGAATTAAAAGAAACCCATTTTAAGTGAACATTTTTTTTATGCTGCAATGGAGCCAGCCCACTGTCTACTCTGCTCCAGCAAACAAAGCATGCACTCAACCTTCTGCATAACCACCCCAACCCCATTGACAAGTTAAATAATTTTTCATTTATAGTTACCAGTAAAATTAATACAAATAGCTAATTAATTTAAAGTTCTGTGCATTAATTATTCTAACGTCTTTGCCTTTGGTGGGCCCTCTTATGTGTACAGATGAAATCTCTCTAGTCTCTACTCTTCCTGTTCACATTTCAAATCCAGGAGATGACTTATCTACCTCCTTTAAAACCTTAAACCCTACATGCATTCCATCCAGAGAATTACTAAACCGTTTGTTTTTTTAGTTCTATCAACGCAAGTTCTACCATCTTTATTGTGGAGCAATTAGGGAAGGTCTCCTTGATTTGGTGGCACTGAGCAGGATGTGGAAAAGAACTGAGGCAAAGCACGATACATGGGCCATGCTTGGCACAGTCTCCCTCTGTATGAGTCTCTGCATGTATGTGCACTCACGTCACTGAGTGAGGATGTGTTGGGAGAAAAGCATCCTTAGACGATGTCTCAGCGTACATCAGTGTCATTAAACAAATCTAATGACAGACCTACCACACAACTTGGCTTTATGGCATAGCCTATTGGATCCTATTTGTCATCCTTTATCAACAAGTTATCAAGGGGCTGGAGAGATTGTACATGGGTTAAGGCACTTGCCTTGCATGTGGCCAACTGGGGTTTGATCCCATTACCCCATATGTCCTCGAGTACATCAGGAATGATCCTTGAGCACAGATCTAGGAGTAAGTCCTAAGCACAGCTGGATATGTGCCACACAGAGTCATCAAGGTTAAGAACAATAGTACAGTAGGTAGGTCACTTGCCTTGCACATGGCTGACCCAGATTTGATGCCCGGAATCCCATGCAGTTACCTGAGACCTGCCAGGAGTAATCTCTGAGCACTGCCCGGTATGACCCACCTGGAGTGACCCTTGAGCACAGGTGGATGTGGCCAAAAGATTTTTAAAAAGACGAACTTTGTCAACATGACGTTCTGATAGACAAGATCTCATAGAGAATCTGTTTTGAAAAGGAACTTAGACGTCAGCTAATATCCCTCCAGTTAGATTCCTTGTGCTAGCAAAGAATTATCTGCCAGCACATTCCCTGCCTGGCTTTCCTGGGGGGGGGGGGGGGAAGCACGGAGGTAGAAGATATCGAAGTAAATAAGGCATAGACTCTAGGCCCCAATGGCTCGAAATGAAGTCGGGGTGCCTATACAGCAGTACTGGCACTGCATATTGGTCTCCCAAGCACCGCACGAGTGACTCCTGAGCACAGAGCCTGGTGGAGTAGGATCCTGAGGATCTCAGGGTGCGGCCCCCAAATAAAGACAACAAAAGTAAACTTAGAACCATTGCGATCACTAAATCAGGATGGCTGTACCGGCCGACTTTTAACGCTGTGCCCGTTTTTACGCCCATGTGCAAACGTCAAGAAGACGCTGTACTGTGGATGCTGCGGTGCCTGCACAGGCGTTCCCATGGTTGGGGGGGTTCTTCCAGGGCGCGAGGCGACTGCACGCATGCGCCCGGCTGGTCCCGCCTCCGAAGCCCAGGAACTGGGGGCGGAGCTGCAGGCCTAGTCCCGCCTCCGAGAGAGTCGGGGGCGGAGCTACATGGCAGGTCCCGCCTCCGAGGCCGGAATCGGGGCGGAGCTGCACGGCTGGTCCCGCCTCCGAGGCCGAAATCGGGGCGGAACTGGCGTCGTGCGCACGCGCGCGCATGCGTGCGGCCGCACAGACGCGGCCAAGATGGCGCCGGTGGAGCACGTTGTTGCGGATGCGGGGGCTTTCCTGCGGGACGTGGCTCTGCAGGTCCCGGGAGAGGGCAGCCGCTGGGGGGCGGCCCAGGGAGGAGCCCCGGGAGTGGGGCAGGAGTGAGCTGGACCCGTCTCCCCGCAGGATATCGGGAAGAACATCTACACGATCCGGGAGGTGGTGCGCGAGATTCGGGACCGGGCCACCCGCCGGCGGCTCGCCGTCCTGCCCTACGAACTGCACTTCAAGGAGCCCTTCCCGGAGTACATACGGCTGGGTGAGTGTCGCTGCCCACACGGGGCTGGGCTCGGGGGGCTTCACCCGCAGCCGGGGGAGGTCGTGAGGGCACGAAAGCGTCCTGGACCAGGAGTCCTGGATCTCGGCCTCGCCGTGGGACGAATGACGGCGGCCCGGATCCCCGACCTGGCCCTGGACGCCGAGCTCGCAGCATCTGCAGTCTCGGCACCTGCATCAGCTCCCAAACTCCGGCCCCTTGGTTTTGCGTGTGTCAGAAGGCGGTCGTGGGGCGGGGTGTTTACTAGCCTCAGATCGGAAGGAAGTGGCTGTTTGGACCTGGCGTGAATCCCGAAAGGGAACGAAATCCGTTATCCCTGGGCTCAGGAATCCGTTCTGATCTCCTGTTAAGACTCTGAGCGATGATGCCCGGGAGAGAGCCCAGGTGTCCAGCTCGAGGACACTGTCCAGCACCCTCAGCTCGTGACTTGGAGTCCTTGCTCTGACAGCTGGCCCGCTGTGCCCTCTCGGTTCTGTTTCTGGTCCACACCATGTGTATTCTGGAACTGCTGCTTGGTTGGGGGCTCCAGCCCTTTGGACCGTGTCCCCATCCCTAGGTTAAGATTTCTCAATATGTCTGCGGAAATACTACTAGTGGTTCTTGGGATTTGGTCATAGTAAATGCCCGCTAAGTTGTAGCTGCTCTGAGTAGCGCCTGGTTTTTTAGGAAAGGGCCACAGCCTGCTTTTCTTTAGGCAGTGCGGCAGGAGACTCATCCTTTGTGTCTGGTGTTTCAGGAGACAGACTGTGACTGGCATCACAACTCCTCTTTTAAGAGAGATGCATGACCCTGTGTGGTTTATTTATTTTTGTATTTTTGGGTCACACCCAGCAATGCATAGGGATTACTCCTTGCTCGTGCACTCAGGAATTACTCCTGGCAGTGCTTGGGGGACCATACGGGATGCTGGGAATCAAACCCGGGTCAGCCACATGCAAGGCAAACACCCTACCCGCTGTGCTATCATCCAGCCCCAGCTGTTTTGTTTTTATAAATGCACAGAAATTCCAGTATTTCTAGGCAGCCTTCTATTTTGGGTTCATCACAGACTACCACAGTTATTGGTGCAGTGAATTTTCCATCCCATCTTCAAATCTGATCATACTATCAGTGTGGACTGTTAGGCTTTCAAAGAATTTTAAAGCTAGGAGAGAGGAGAGTTTCCGTTCTCACATGCAGAAGGCACGCTCCTAGCTTACAAACACTGTGTTCACATTGAGTAACTCCTCGTTTGTGCTGGAGCGTGATAGTCACAGTAATCCTACCTGGCAGGAATTTTGACAGCAGAGAATACAGTGTCAAAACAAAGAAAGATCAGGCATTGAATGAAAATAAGTTCTGTTCATACTTTTACATGGCTAGCCAGAGAGGTTTTCTGGCATTTGCCTCTGAAATTGGACTGTCTTGTTTGCAGTAACTGAGTTTTCAAAGAAAACAGGAGACTATCCCAGTCTTTCTGCCACGGACATCCAGGTGCTGGCGCTCACTTACCAGCTAGAAGCGGAGTTTGTGGGGGTGTCTCACCTTAAACAAGAACCAGAAAAGGTAAAACAGGAGCATTGCTGGGTTTTGTTTTGATTTGATTTTTGGTTTGGTTTGGGAGCCACACCCAGTGATGACCACGGGTTACCCCCGGCTCCACACTCAGGAATCACTCTGGTAGTGCTCGGGGGTTGCTGGGGTTGTTTGTGAGCAAGGCAAGCGCCCTGCCTGTTGCACTATGGCTGTTCCCGTCTGTGTTTTTGAATTTTTCTTTGGGGGCTGTGGGGTGGGGAGTGATGTCCAAGCTGCATGGTTTTGCATGGTGCTGCCAACGTTTCTCCTTTTTTCCTGCCGCAGGTCACGGTGAGCTCCTCCATTCAGCACCCAGAAACGCCTCTGCACGTGTCCGGCTTCCATCTCCCTTCCAAGGTGAGCCCTCGGGCAGCTGCTGCTCCCCAGAGAATGCACGGTCCTGCCACCTCTGTCCTCTCCCTCCCTCCCTAACACTTTTCAGGGGTTAAATATCATCTCTCGGCCTCAGCAGCCACGCCAACCCACAGAGCCCAGGCAACCGGCCACTGAGTCCCAGGAGCTGGAGTTCAGCTCATTCGTGTTCTGGAGAAACCCTCTACCCAGCATCGAGCAGGACCTCCAGGAGCTGCTGGTGAGGCCCCGGCGTATGGTTCTGCCTGCTGCTTGCGCCCACCCAGACACTCACCTCCCCGCCTGCTGTGTTTCAGGGCAGCGCAGGTGATGGCGTGGCCAGCGAGGACGAGGAGGAGGAGGGCTCCGAGGATGGGAAGGATGAGGACAGTGACGGGGATGGGGGTGGATGGATCACCCCCAGCAACATCCGGCGTGTGCAGCAGGAGCTGGGGCAGTGCACCGTCCCGCAGGACGTGCGGGTGGGCTGCGTGACCACAGACTTCGCCATGCAGGTGCGGGCTGGGCCCCGGGTCAGGGCGGGGTGGGGGAGGCGGTCCGCTGTCGTGAGTTGCCTTTTTCTGTGGCAGGGACTGGGGGTTTGCACATGAGGGGCAGAGTGATGGATTTTTGTTTGTTTGTGCCCTGCTTTGTGGGAGGCCCCAGATTTGCTCTCCAAAGGTCCTAGAGTATATCTGTCTTTTCCCTTTCCCATTTTTGGGGTCACACCCAATGCTTAGGAAACCTGCGGTCCCCGGGACAGAAGTCAGGTGCAAGTCTAGTGCCCGGCTGAGCCTGTTACCATCTCCCCTCCCGTCTCCTTGTCTGAGAGGCACCTTCAGGGCCCCAGCAGGGCTTGGGTGGGGGGGCAGCTGGGCGGGGTGCAAGCTACTGCACGTGTTGTTCCAGAATGTGTTGCTGCGGATGGGGCTGCACGCGCTGGCGGTGGACGGCATGGTCATCCGCGAGGCCCGCAGCTACGTGCTGCGCTGCCACGGCTGCTTCAGGTACGTCAGGTGCCGGCCCCTGCAGCCCTTTCCCCCTGGGCCCGGCTGCCTGCGGTGACCCCTGCCCCGCCACTCCCACCCCCTTGTGTCTCCAGGACAACGTCAGACATGAGCCGCGTGTTCTGCCCCCACTGTGGGAACCGGACCCTGAAGAAAGTGTCCGTGTCCGTGGGCGCCGACGGGACGCTGCACATGCACTTCTCCCGCAACCCCAAGGTGCTGAACCCACGCGGCCTGCGGGTGAGTGGGGCATGGGCAGCGGTCCCCCCTGAGAACCAGCACTTCCCGGCCCCTCCTGGATCTCCTGGGCTGCTTAGGGATCCTTGGTCTGCGTTTTCGGAACCATTTGAGAGTCAGCTGCAGGGCTTGGCTTTTGGCTACTCTCGCACAGTTGTTCTTCAGCAAAGACTTGTTTCTTGGGCCCCACCTGGTGGTGGTCGGGCTTACTCCTGGCTCTGCTCAGGAATCTTTCCTAGTGTGACTCGGGGACTGTCTGGGAGGCCGGGTCAACCGTGTGCAGGGCACGCGCCCTCCCTGCTGTGTCTGCGGCCTGGTCAGGCCAGTGCACACTCCCCCAGTAGGGCTCCTGCGGGTGGCGGTGGGTTTTTGGGTCTCAGCTCCCAACCGTGGAGGTATTTTAGTGGGTAACCCTGTAGACTGCCCCTCAGTCCGGGCCAGGCCACCTGCTGCTGGCATGTGCCACGGCCCTGTTGGGCACTGTGGTGGGGCTGCCTTGGGAGATGACGTCTTTGGTCACCCTGTGATGGCCCACGCCATTGTGGGGGGTGTCATCCCGGGACTATAGCCTGACCCAGCTGTGGCAGGCCTGGCCCGGGCTTCCTGCAGTTACGTGGAGTAAAGTAACTGTTGTGACCATCGGCGTGGCTGGGTGGGTCCTGCTAGGCAGGAGCTGTGACCCCTCATCTAGCCGGGCTCAGGGCTGAAGTTGGTGGAGCGTTTCTTGTGAGCACGCAGGCTGCGTCCTTCCTTCTGAAGTCCGCAGCTCCAGGCCGGATCCATGACTCCGACTGTTCCCACAGCCAGCTGCGCCTTTACAGGGTCCCGGGCAGTCGAGACTCACTTGTCACAAACTGAGGCATGTCTCTGAGGCGCTCGTCACTGGTGGACGGTGGGCCTCAGCAGACCCGGGGCAGGGGTCACAGACTCGGCCTTTGGCGGGCAGAGAGCCTGTGGCACATTTATTTCCTCTCCGCCGGTGGCAGGAGGGGTCCTGGCTGACTGGCTCGGCCCAGAGTCCGTTCTACCCTCCACAGCCGCTGCGCGCTGCTCTTGACCCCATACTGATGTCTGTGTGGTGCCCAGCATTACTCCAGCGTGCTGCCACTGCCACTGCAAAAGGGGCAGGGCCATGTGCAGGGGATTCTGCCTCCTCAGCAGTGGTCAGGGCTCAGAGAGGTGCAGGTTGCGTGGTGGACCGGGCCGGGAGACTGCCTGGCCGGTCAGCCCTGCGGCCCCGCTGACGGTCCCTTGCCTCCGCAGTACTCCCTGCCCATGCCCAAAGGTGGCAAGTACGCCGTCAACCCTCACCTCACGGAGGACCAGCGCTTCCCACAACTGCGCCTGTCCCAGAAGGCCCGGCAGAAAACCGACGTCTTCGCCCCTGACTACGTCGCTGGGCTGTCCCCCTTCGCAGAGAATGACATCTCCAGTCGCTCGGCCACCCTGCAGGTGAGAGACGGCGCCCTGGGCGCCGGCAGGAGGCGCCTGAATCCCAACGCTTCCAGGAAAAAGTTTGTGAAGAAGAGGTGAAGGGCACTTGCCCTCCGCAGCTGGACTGGATCACATGGCCAGAGGCCAGGGAGCTCAACCCCCGCCCCGCACCCCCCATGGAGCCTCCGCAGAGACCTGGCAGGGAGCTGAGCAGCCTGGCCCTGCTCCACCCGCCAGTGCTCAGGGGGCTTGTGTGGCAGCTGGGCCCTCCCTGGGCTACGGAGCTGGAGTCACAGAGCAGGACCCAGAGCCGGCCTCAGCCTTCCCTGAGGGGAACTTAACAGGGATCGTGTCATTTCTAATAAATGTGTTCACAAGCTTCGGTGTGTTCCAGATTGTTACTATCTTAGTCCTGAAGACTAATGCCGCGTTTCTGTTATGGGGGTTTGTTCTGGTTACTTGGGCCAACGGCTGGTTTTGTGCTCAGGGCTCGCTTCTGGTGGGCTCTGCACCACCATATGTGACGCTAGAGATTGAGCCAGGTTCAGCCGCGCTGGGAGTAGAGGCCATACATGGTACGGGGGTTAGAACATGAGTGGGCTACAGGCAAGGGAAGTGCCTTATCTCTGCTATGACCACTCCCACCCAAGAAGGCTCAAGGTCGAGTGGGGTTGGGGACACTCCTGGCTCTGTTCAGGGATTACTGCTGGCAGTGGTGGGACCACAAAGTGAATTAGCCCAGTACTCCCGGCCCCAAGACTGCACCATCCAGGGATCACATGTTTAGAATTATTTGTCAACAAATACTAGGAAATATGAAAGAGTGAAACTGCCATTTGGGCCCTGGTGCCTTCCTGGCCCCTGACTTTGATACCACATAGGCCCCTACAGTGACGACCAGATGTTTTCCCTCTGAGGCATTTGGGGAAGGGGGAGCAGGGGAAATTAACAGAGTCATAGTACAGTGGGTAAGTCACACAGCCAATCCCAGCTTCCCATAAGGTTCCTCAGGCCCACCAGGAGTGATTCCTGAGTGCAGTGCCAGGGGTAGCCCTGAGCATTGCCAGGTGTGGCCCCAAAACAAAGCTTTAAAAACGTTGGCAACTGGACAATGCACGGTGGGTAGGCCACTTGTCTCACGTCAGTACAACCTGGTTAGATCCCCAGCAGCGCATACGGTTCCTAAGCACTGCCAGAAATAACCCCTGCCAGGAGTGCAGAGGCAGGAAAAACCCCTAAGCACTGCCAGGTGTGCCCCCACCACCCCCACCACACCCCCATAAAGGGTCCCAAGTCAAAGTGCTACCTTTGAGCTCCTTAAAGCTAACTCCTGCATTTCCTCAGCCTCACACATCTGGCTGCTGGACCCTGTCACAGGGTCACATTGCTGAGGAATCTAGTGTATAGCCCTAGGGGGATGCTGTGGGTCCTCTGTTGATGTAGCTGCCCAGTACTCGGCTTTAGGCTGCACTTCATTCGATCCGATCCCGATTTAGCCTTTTGTAAAGCTGCGTTGTCTCCTGCGGCCTTGGTCCTGCACTGAAGCTTGGTGACTCCACACCCCCAGTTTGAGCTTGCCTAAGCAGCTGCCCAGGCTCACTTTGGGCAAAGCCACCAACCAAACCCTTTGGCACTGACCACAGACCTGCATCCTCCCGCTTCATCCTTAGGAGGTGTGAGCCTTGGCCACATCCATCGTTGGTGAGCATGCAGGGGAAGGTTTTACAGGCTGCAAATGTGCAAGTGGGGGTCGTAGAGCACAAAGGGCCCTGCCTCTCCCCATCTCCCCATTCAAACTTGGGTGCCTGCCAGCGGGTGACGTGCAGCGGGTGGTGAGCAGAAGGGGCAGCGTCAGGCCCCGGGGAGAGGCCCTTCCTCTCCCCTGCCTGCTTCCTTACTGCCACAACCACATGCAGGGCAAGTGCCTCACCTCCTGAGTCATCTCCCCAGGCCCTATCAATGACACTGTGTGTGTGTGTGTGTGTGTGTGTGTGTGTGTGTGTGTGTGCACGCGCGCGTGTGTGTGTGTGTGTGGAAATAAAACCAGGGCTTCACACTTGGAGACAAGTGCTTTACCATGAACTGTATTCCTGGCCCCTGGTTGTAAAGAAACGACTTTTGGGGGGCTGGAACCATAGTACAGCAGGGAAGGTGTTTGCCTTGCACGCAGCCGACTCTTGAATTCCCAGCGTTCCATATGATCCCCCCCCCCCATGCACCACCAGCAATAACTCCTGGGTGATAGCCCAGCGGGTAGGGAATTTGTCTTGCATGCGGCCGACCCAGCAGACTCAGGTTCGATTCCTCTGCCCCTCTTGGAGAGCCTGGCAAGCTACCAAGAGTATCTCGCCCGCAAGGCAGAGCCTGGCAAGCTCCCTGTGACGTATTCAATATGCCAAACACAGTAACAACAAGTCTCACAATGGAGACGTTACTGGGCCCGCTCGAGCAAATCGATGAACAACAGGAGGACAGTGCAGAGCCTGGAGTAACCCCTGAGTATCGCCCAGTATGACACAAAAACCAAAAAAATTTCCACAAAACTTTTTGCAGTAGGCCACAGAAAGATGGTGGTGCTCCCTCTACAGGTCACTCGGGGAAGAGCAGCCAGATCCAACCAGACGTGGATTCTCTTGCACCTACCTCTCAGATTCTTGGATACCGCAGGAAGAAAAGAGGGAGGTTCTACCAGCAGAACTTTCCAGCCCCAACAGAGTTCAGTTCTCCCCTGCCTCGTTTCTCACTGAAGCTGAAAGGCATGAAACCTGGAAAGGCCAAAGCTAATTTCATAGCTCTGGCTGAAATCCCCTTCTTAGTCTAGGATCGTTATGCTGACTTCCTGATCTCAGCCAGTTCCATTCCGTGCAGAGGCCACAGCACTTTACGGAGACTGATTTGCATAGCAGAGTTCCCCAGAACCTTCCTGCATCCCCGCTGCTCTTTCCGTCCGTGCGTTGTGGCTTCCAGGGTTCCCTGCCACACTTTGATGGGAGGGCCTTGAATCAGCCCCTGAACTGCAATTGGATTTTTCTTGGAATGGTATGCAATGCCGGGGATTGACCCAGAGTCCACTGAGTAACAAAGGAAGCCTCATCTCTGGACCTCGACTGCTAGTGACTTGTACCCCCAGCACTTGGAAAATCTAGGGCGAAGATCCTGCACTGTTTGTGAGCTCATGTATTTACATATTTGGGCTTGGGTCCACACCAGGCAGTGCTGGAACACAACCCGGGGTCCTGTGGGTGGTGTTGCAGGCACTGAAGCCGAGCTCTCTCTAGGCTAAGTTCCCCGTGACATAACTGGAAGGGCGGGGGCTGATTCCAGAACCAGGAGGACGGGAAGCAGGTTGAACCACAGGCTCACAGCCTGGAGACATGGGCAGGGCCTGGTGTGCCACCTCCTGGAAGCCCCCAGGGGACTCCCAGGCATCTTTCCAAAAGCTTCAGACACAGAATGTGTGAGTCAGAGATTGAAGCAAACAGTTGGGTGGGGCAGGAAATGGTTTTTTCCTTTTGTTTGCTAGTTTAGTTTGCTCTCCAAAGTCACATGTGAACTGCCATCACAGGGTGACTGCAGAATGACTTGTCCTGAGAGAAAGCAGCATCAGAAACTTCCCCCTCCGCCCCCCAGCCCTTCCGTGCCTTAAGTTCTCTGGTCAGAGCCCAGACACATTCTGCTCTGTGGCAAGAGGCTTCTCGGCCAGAGCTGCCCTCTGAGAGGGATTTCAGTGTGACCCATAGCGCTGAGTCCCACCGGGGATGTGGCTCAGTTCCAGAATGTACCCAAGGTGGGCAGCTCACCTGGGGATGTCTCGCGTGTCCCAGGATGTAGGATAACATTGGTTTGTCTTTTCTGCCACAGGGAGCTTAGGTTTATTGGGTTACTCCCACCACAGTGCTCTCATTCCTCTGTGTTTACTTGTAACCTCTTTCTTTGTGCTCTGCTTCCCCGACTGGTGAATCACCTTTATCTCCGAATCAGACTCTGTTAACTTGTAAATATTGCTTTTCTCTTCTCCTTAAGTCCTTTGCATAGTCAATTCAGAGCAATGTCCTTTTTTATAGATACAGGAAGACAGTTAATGCTATGCTTTTGTAACTTGGGAGTTAATTGATATTCACTCCTGGGCATCTGTTCTCTCAACTTAAGCCTCAGTTGCCCTTACTTCCTAGCACCCCAGAAGCAGGGTCCTGATAAGGGACTGGATGGACCCAGGGCAAGCTGTGAGCTACCCTGGCATCAAAATGGGCCGCGCCAAAGTGCCATAATACTTAAGAGCGTGGTCATGGACAAATTCTGTCATGATTCAAAAAGTAACAACTGAATTAAGACCCTGCTAGGGTTAGAAAAGATTTATCTGGTCTGAGCACGGTAGTCTGAGATATAAAGTGAGCCGTCCTCAGGAGATCCAGCCTACAAGCTTAATGTATCTCTTACTGTGTCCATACAAAATAACTAATATTGCTCCAAAGGGCCCAGTAAAGTCTCCATTTTGAGACTTGTTGTTACTGTGTTTGACATATTGAATACATCATGGGTAGCTTGCCAGGCTTTGCCCTGCAGGCGAGAGAGATACTCTCGGTAGCTTGGCTGGCTCTCCGAGAGGGGCAGAGGAATCGAACCCTGCTCGGCTGGGCTGGCTGAGCGCAAGGCAAACGCCCTACTGCTGTGCTATCACTCCAGCCCCAACTAATATTAAGAAATAGAATTAAGATGTTAATTAAGTTGTTGGGCTGGAGCAATAGCACAGCGGGTAGGACGTTTGTGTTTCACACAGCTGACATGGCTGACCCGAGTTCGACTCCTCCGCCCCTCTCAGAGAGTCCGGCAAATTACCGAGTGTATCTCGCCTGCACGGCAAAAGACTGGCAAGTTACCCATGATGTGTTCGATATGCCAAACACAGTAACAACAAATCTCACAATGTTACTGGGCCCACTCGAGCAAATCGATGATGACCGATGAACAACGGGAGGACAGGGATAGTGACAGTGACAATTAAGCTGTTGGACTAAGGAGAGGAAAAACACCCCTAAGAGGTGTTTTTGCCCTTGAGCAGAAGAAGGGCTTTCATATGTTAATTGTGCTACCCCCAATGCAAGGAGTTGGAGACTAGAGAGAGACCAGGCTGCAGGGCTAGTGGGAGAGCAGAGAGATGAGCAGGAGAGACAGGAGACAGGAAAGGGGCAGTGTCAGATGAGAATGGGGAGCTTAGTGAGGTTGGAACAGGCGCGTGGGGAGAATGGAATAAAGGGCAACTGATCACCAACCAACCAGCCTGGCAGCCTCATTTCCTCCTTCGTCTGCCCATGGCATCAGCTGTCCTGGGTGGGGGAGTGTTGCAAGACCACCGAATGCAGTCGGCGAGAGAGAGAGAGAGAGAGAGAGAGAGAGAGAGAGAGAGAGAGAGAGAGAGAGAGCACTTCAGGGTGATTATACACCAGGAGACGGAGATGATGGTGCTGAGATAGGGGGACAGGCAGGTGACAGCAGAAGGCTCCTTTACCTCCTCAAATTGAGGACCTGAGGCCGGAGCAGTAGCACAGCACCTGTTTGTACACGGCTGACACCGGTTCGATCCCCAGCATCCCATATGGTTCCCCCGAGCACTGCCAGGAGTAATTCCTGAGTGCAGAGTGAGAACCTGGTTCCTGCGGGGACATTGGGTGGGTGGTCACCGGCTCACCAAGGATGAGACATCCAGCTCCAGGAGCAGCTGGACCAGCTCTGAGCGCTCGATGCAGCCCAGCCACACCACTCAGAAAAGCAGGGGGGCTTTGGGGACCCTGCGCGCAGGGCTTGGGACCCAGCGGGAACTAATGAGGCTGTTTGTGTTGATCATTGGGAGGAGGACACGGACCTCAGGGGACTCTCCTGTCCCTGCTTCTCTTTTCTAGATAATGAAGACAAACCCTCGAAGCGTCCTCCAGGTCCTCCAGCTCCACGGCACCCGCCGGCTCCCAGGGGGGCTCAGCTCACACCCCTTGAGGCCCTCCTGGGCAGAGGCCAACTCAGAGAAGACCAAAGGGATGCTATTGGGGGGAGGACATTTGGGGGTGGGGTGTTCAGGGCTACACCCAGTGGTGCTCAGGGGTCTGCACTCAGGAGTCACTCCTAATGGTGTTCAGGAGACCATACGGATGCCGAGGATCAAACCCGGGCCGGCGTGTGCAAGGCAAGCACCCCACCAGCCGCACTACCACTCCAGAGGTTTCTACAGTCTTGAATACTGGCACATTAAAGCCAGTAGGACTGGAGGAGGAGGCTATTCAGAGCCACATGTTCACTCCTGAGGCCTGGAATATGACTCAAGAATTCAGACTCTGAGTGATAGCAAGCAGGGGAAAGCTTAGGAGTGCGACTGGAGGCTGAGTTCAAGTTCCAGTTCTGGTGGGCATCAGTGACAAGCTGTGGAGCTATGGTCAAGCAACATCACCGCTTGCTGCCTTGGTTTTCTTGTCTCTACAATGGGTCTTTATTCCCCAGTTCACATCATAGACAAAAAGTCCTTCCAAGCATGTTATAAACCTAAGCACAGAAACTCCAAACTGAGACTCTTCAAAGGAACCTCCAGACAGGTGGATGATTCCTTAAACACAACACCAAAGCACCCACAATGAGAAGACAGGCCAAGAGGACATCATCAAAATGAAAGCTAGAGGTTTCAAAGACACCATCAAAAAAAGTGGGCAGGGGAATGAACCCAGAGAACAGCAGTAAATATTTGTGAGACGTGTATCTGATAAGGAACTAACTTTTCCGACAGTTCAACGGCTGAGCAAGCACTCCACTCTGGGAAGCCTGGGATCAGTTCCTGGCACCACTTTGTTTTGTTTTTTTTCTTTCTACTTTTGCTTTTTGGGTCACCTCCAGTGATGCTCAAGAGTTCTTCCTGGCTCTGCACTCAGAGAGTTTAGGAATCACTCCTGGTGGCGCACAGAGAATCATATGGGATGCCGGGACTGAACCTGGGTTGGTCACATACAAGGCAAACGTCCTACCTGCTGCACCATCACTCCTGCACCCTTGATACCACATGGTCCCCTAATCACTGCATGGAATGACCCCAAGCTCAGAGCTGGGAGTAACCCCCAAGGATTTCCAGGTGTGACCCCCAAACCAAAAAGAAAAATATAATAAATTTCTTTTTTTTAAAAAAAGAAAACTTTATTACTGATAAAAAGGCAAGTTACTCAATTGAAGTTTTAATTTGGGGGGGGGTCTAAAAATAGGACAGGGGTTAAGGTGCTTGCCTGGTCATGTCCAACTCCGGTTCGATCCCCAGCATTGCAATTTGTTCCATGAGCTCTATTGAGCACTGCCAGGTGTGACCACAAAACTAATAAAAGTTGAATTTCGGGTCCAGGAATTATAGCTCAGTTGTGTAAGGGTCTAGATATGATCCCCAATTCTGCCAAAAATATCAAATAAGAATTGAACTTTAGATTTGAGTAGACATTTCTCCATAAAGGATTTGAGAATGGCCAATAAGTACATATAGCACTGAATAGCACTGTCCTCCCATTGTTCATCGATTTGCTCGAGCGGGCCCAGTAACATCTCCATCGTGAGACTTGTTACTGTGTTTGGCATACCCAGTACGCCACAGGTAGCTTGCCAGGCTTTGCTGTGCAGGCAAGACACTCTCGGTAGCTTGCCAGGCTCTCCAAGAGGGGCGGAGGAATTGAACCCTGGTCGGCCAGGCCGGCTGCATGAAAGGCAAATGCCCTACGGTCGTGCTATCATTCCAGCCCAATAAGTACATAAAAGATATTAAACATTAGTAGCTATTAGGGAAATGCAATTAAACCACATGAACACACTCCCCCCATGCCCGCAAAGGTGGCAGTAACTAGGACAGGCATTATTGAGACAACAGAAAGGACCATGGAGGGGGACTGTTGAGGGGTCCCAAATTCTTAGAGGGAGATGTTGAAAATATTCTATGGTGCCATTTGCTAATTTCTAAACTATTAAAAGCCATCAGACAATTCACTTTATATATTTTTGTTTGGAGGCTGCACACGCAGTATTCAGAGTTTATTCTTGGCTCTGTGCTCAGGGATCACTTCTGGCAGGATTCAGGGCCAGAATGTGGTGCTGGGGATCAAACCTGGGTCCAACACATGCAAGGCAGGCACCCTGCCTGCTAATCTGGTCTGCTCACACATATCTGGTTTGGATGCAGTTGGAACCTTTTTTTTTTTTTTTTTTTTTGCTTTTTTGGGTCACACCCGGCGATGCTCAGGATTTATTCCTGCTCTGCGCTCAGGGATTATTCCTGGCAGTGAGCGGGGGAAATAACAGGGGCTGGGGATTGCTTTCAGCACCTGGACCATGGTGCCAGGATCTTGTGGGATGCATGTGGGACACCGGTGGTTGGGACTCGTGACATGACAGTCACTCTGAGCCCTGAACCTGTCCTCTGGGCCTGCGATGGACCCCCCCCCTTATTTTTTCCTTTTTGGGTCACACCCAGTGATGCACAGGGGTTACTCCTGGTTCATGCACTCAGGAATTACTCCTGGCAATGCTTGGGGGACCATATGGGATGCTGGGAATCGAACCTGGGTTGGCTGCGGACAAGGCAAACGCCCTACCTGTTGTGCTATTGCTCCAGCCCCACGATGACCCCTTTTAATGGGCCTTCCTTGGTTATCACTCCTAGCTTTTCCATTGGTTATTCATCCCTCAAACCATTGCAGCCCCTCCAGGTTCTGCAGGAGGAAGGTGTCTCTTCTGCTCTGCTACCCTAAGCAGGTCCCTGGGCTCTGCGCTCCGGGCCTGCGATCCCTACACCAGCTGCGAACTCTCTGCTGCAGACCAGCTCATTCCGTTCCCTGTGGAGGGTCAGAGGTCAGAGGTCTTGCCGCCTCCCCCCCCAGGGGGACAGTGCAGAAGAGGGGCCCTGCCCAGTGAAGCAGAAGCCAGTGCTCTCCCGGGGGACGCCGCTAGGCAGTCAGGCTTTCTGAGCCTCCCACTCCAAAACCCAAGTTTGAAGTCACAGTGACTCAGCACAATCCGAGCCTCGCAAAGACCTTCAGTGGCTGCTGGGCTGAGGCTGAGCCTGGGCCAGCGGTGGCTGGGGTGTGGCACCCGGCACAAAGGGGAGGGCAGCGAGTGGACCCCACCAGAAACTGGCTCTTCCAGTGTCCAGGTGGTTTCAGGGCCTCTGTCTCCCACCCCTCCCATCCCGAGTCCCCCAGGTGCCCTCCTGCCCCTCCCGTCACCTACCCAAGGACCCTTCTAGACTTGGCGCCCAGGGTCCCTACCCCACAAGCGACCCCCAGGACTCTGCATCCTTCCTAAAGCTGCTGCCAATGCGGGCTCCACCCTGCGCCCCAGGGCCTGCCAGCAGCCCCGCCCTTACTGGCAGCCCAGCTCAAGTGGGCAGGGCTGGCTGGGTATAAAGTAAGAGCCAGCGCCTGGCTGCACACAGGGGCCTTCCACGCTGCAGCCCAGTGCCTGAGGACCTTGCCCCGCCAGTTTCTCCCCGGCAACCAGCAGCCAATCAGCCAATCAGCACAGCACCAGAGCCATGGCCGGTGAGTACCGTGTGTGGGCACCCGGGTTTTGCCTTCCCTTCAGGTCCTGATCCAGAGGGGGAGCCCCTGGTTCTGCCACACCCACCCCCCAGAACTGGTTCAGAGGAGGTTTGACCTAGAAAGCAAAATTTCCTTTCTCTGGGGGCTGGAGCGATAGCACAGCGGGTAGGGTGTTTGCCTTGCGCAAGGGCAACCCCGGGTTCGATTCCCAGCATCCCATATGGTCCCCTGAGCACCGCCAGGAGTGATTCCTGTGTGCAGAGTCAGGAGTAACCCCTGAGCATCGCCAGGTGTGTGTGATCAAAAAAAAATTCCTTTTTCTTTTTTTTTTCTTTTTTAAGTTTGTCGGTCACACAGGGCTTTGCTCAGGGCTTCTGTTGGTTTTTTGTTTTGTTTTCGGGCCACGCTGGTGGTGCTCAGGATTTACTCCTGGCTCTGCACTCAGGGATCACTCCTGGCAGGCTTGGAACCTAATCATATGGGTGCCAGGCTTGGAACCCGGTTGGCTGACTGCAAGATGAGCCCATGCCTTACACCTTGTACTATTGCTCTGGCCCCAGGGCTTACTTTGGACTCAGTGACCACTTCTGGTGGGCTTGGAGGACCCTATGGGATGCTGGGGATTGAACTTGGGTCAGTTGCATGCAAAGTGAGCACCCTACCTGCTGATCCAGCTGCAAAATTTCCTTCCTAAAACAGATGGCTTAAGCAAGCAGCAGAAGCCAGATCTGGCCACTGGCACAACTTCTCTGGCCTTACAGTAAAGTGTGTGTGTGTGTGTGTGTGTGTGTGTGTGTGTGTGTGTGTGAGCGCGCGCGCGCATTTGCGCATGCACACGTGTGTGTGCACGTCGGTGTGCGTGTGTATGCACGTGTGGTTGCATGTATGTGCATATGTGTGTGTCCCAGTTTAATCAAGTAGAGAAACAGAGACAGCAGACTCCAGGTGCATTTAGGAGACAGGGCCAGAGTGATGGGTCCGCTTCCAGGCACACTCTCCCTCCGACTTCACCACCAACTCCTCGCCCTGTTTCCATGGCTGCGTGGTTTTGGGGGGTCGCTCCTTCCCAGAGAACCCCTCTGAGATGCCCTCCAAGATAGGAAGTAAGGTGTTTCCTCCACTGGGGCAACCCTCAGCCTTTCTGTAACTTCCTTGTGTCAGAAGCTTGTGGAAACACGCAAACCTCATCTTAGATGAAGGGTGGGACAGGGCAAATGACCTTTAGAATCGGAGAAGGGACCCCGCTGGGTGTCCAGGGGACAGTGGGCATTTGGGAGGAACTGTCATGGCTTCCTGGCTGCTGGTGGCCTCCTTCTTTACCAGGGCAAGGAGAATTTCTTGATTTTGCAACTCTACGGAATGTGCTGCATTGTTTGTGATTTAGACCCCCCAAAGAATAGGAGGGATGGGGTGCATCATAAGGGCTGGTGGAGGGTCTGGATCGTGTGTAAAGGGCCTAAGACATAAGGTGCACTCAGCAAATAACAACCATTTGCTAGGGTCAGAGAGACAGTACAGGGGGCAGGGCACTGGCGCAAGCTGGCCAGGGGTGATCCCTGAGTGCAGAGCCGGGAGTAATCCCTGGGCACTGCTGGCCTGGCCCCAAAACACCTTTGTTTTCTATCAGTTGCTTCTGACCCACCTGCAGGAAACAGGGCTGGGGACCCGTCCTAGCTGTCACAGTGTTTCTTAATTGATTTTTCTTCTTGCCAAAATGATCATGAGGATAATAAACCTTTGACCGTTCAAGATAAAGGGGCAGCTACCAGAGAGACGGTGCAGAGGTTAAGGTGCTCACCTTATATGGACCAGAGTTCAATCCCTGGCACCACATATGCAAAGCCAGGAGTGACATCCGAACATAGAGCCAGAAGCCCCTGAGAACAGGGCCAGGAGTAGCCCAGGAGCACCAACCAAAACCAAAATAAACGAGTTGGGCCAGGAATGTAGCTCAGCAGTTGAATATTTGCCTTGAATGTACTAGGCCCGAGGTTAGAACCCTAGCACTGTCAAAATGAAAAAGGTAACGGCACTTGATATGACACTGAGGTATCACAATCTTTTGTTTCACCAAATTTGATCATCAGTGAAGATGCAGGTTGGTGCAATCCAGTTTGAACTGAAGGGTCAGGAAGAGCTCTTGCTTCAAGATTTGCCTGAGGTAGAAGGTAGAATGTTGCAAGGGTGCCAGTGTAGACATGAAGTCAGTTCCCAAGGGACCGTCAGAATGTATACCCACAGAAGACAAGCGTTTGTTTTGTCTGCATCTGCGTGCAAAGCCTCTGCTTAAGCCATGACGCAATCTCTCTACCCCTTTTATTTTTATTTAAAAAATTTTGTTTGTTTTTGGGCCATCCTTGGCAGTGCTCAGGGCTTACTCCTGGCTCTCTGCTTAGGGATCATTCCTGGCATGCTCTGCAGACCATATGGTGGTGCTGGGGACCGAATCTGGGTCAGTTGCATGCATGGCAAGTGTCTGGTTGGCTGTACTAAGGCTCCAGATCTGTTTTTTTTTTTTCTTTTTGGGTCACACCTGGCGACGCACAGGGGTTACTCCTGGCTCTGCACTCAGGAGTTCCTCCTGGCTGTGCTCAGGGGACCATATGGGATGCTGGGAATTGAACCCGGGTTGGCCGCGTGCAAGGCAAACGCCCTACCCGCTGTGCTATCTCTCCAGCCCCAGAGATCTGTTTATTTTTAAGAATAACTGGCACACCCCAAACCAGTAGATGGTGAGCCCCTCAAAGCAAAGGAGAGAAAGCCTGAACTCATTCTGACGGAAGTAACTTTATGTTCAGCATTTAGGCAAAGATTGTTAATATTGATAAACAAGGGGCTAGGGCACTTCTCTTGCACATGGCCGACCCCAGTTAGATCCCCAGAACCCATAAGGCCCCCTGAGCAACTGCCAGGAGAGATCTCTGAGCACCACTGTGTCAACCCCGAATAGAAAGGAAAAAAATCGGTAAGTAAAACTAGGGCTGGAGCAATAGTACAGCGGGTAGGGCATTTGCCTTGCACATGGCCAACCAGGGTTCGATTCCTAGCATCCCATATGGTCCCCCAAGCACTGCCAGGAGTAATTTCTGAGTGCAGAGCCAGGAATAACCCCTGTATATGGCTGGGTGTGACCCAAAAAGCAGGAAAAAAAATCCAACAACCTAAGGGCTGGGATCTGGTTCCACGGACTGGAGCACGTAATTTGCACACAGGAGCCCTGCATGGTCCCCAGGGCACCAAGCCTGGAGTAGCCCCCAAGTAACTGCTGGGTGTAGCCTCGAATCAAATGTACACGTCCTGTCTACTCTATAAAATGTGTATATTGCTAGAAAGTGAGCTGACGCATGCTAACTACATCAGCAGTCTCAACTGCTACTGGAAAAGGCTGAGAACCACTGAACGCTACTGACCAGTTTCCGGTGCCCCTGCTCCCCTAAAGACCATTAATTTACACGGGAAAATTAAAAAAAAGTTTGAGCCTTCCCAGCCCCCAACGACCTACCAAATAGTACGAATCTTAAAATAATGCACAACTCGAAGCGGCAGTGGGAACGCCCTGGGCAGTCGGCAGCCTGCAGAACGCAGCCCCCTCGAAGGTATACAGCAGAACTGCTTCACTGCAGGGGTGCTACTGCTTCTAGAATGTTCACTCTAGACAAATGTTCTGCCCAAGCTGAAACTGAAACTGTGTTGGGGGCCAACAATGCGGCTCAGTGGTGAGCGCATCTTTTCGTATTAAAAAGTTTCTGGGTCCAGAAACAAAACAAATCTCTCTCTCTCTCTCTCTCTCTCTCTCTCTCTCTCTCTCTCTCTCTCTCTCTCTCTCTCTCTCTCCTTCCCTCCCTCCTTTGCTCCCTCCCTCCATATATGGCAGGACCCTGAGTTGTTCTTTCAGCTGTAAAATGCAATGGCATCATGTCACCTTCCAAAAAGCAGGGATTAGCTGTTGTACCCCTGAACTGACATAACCCAGGTGGTGCGTCCACTTTAACCCAGGAAGCCTCTGAGAACAAAACCCGGGAAACTGGAGCAGGCAGCCTGGCTACAAGCAATGCCAGGATCGGTGCCGCCCGCCTGCTCGCCCCACTCACGTTTTTGTCCAACAGGGTGGGGTCCGGGATGGAGATGAGGGGCCTGGCTGCCTTCCCGGCCTCGGTCCGGGCTAAGCAGAGCCATCGCTTCCACCTATCGGAGCCCTTCGTGGCTCTGAGCACCGCGCGTGCGTGCACCCACCTAGCACAAGCTCGGCCCCCAGCGCCCAGGAGGGCGCCTGAACCCTGGCAGGTGTGGGTAGTATTACAAGTGGGAAGAGCCAGGGCTGAATGGGCCCTTTCTGTTTACTTACTTACTTTCGCTAAGAAGTTGCAGGTGCGGGGAGTAAGTCCCGAGCCCAGGCGGGTGTGCCCCCTGCAGAAACAAAGCAAACCCTGGCAGCTGCTTCTCTCCCTCTCCCACAGGCATATGGCCACTGTTTCTGTGTGTTTTTAAATTCCCAAAGGTTAGTAACTTGCTGAACATCCGAGCAAGCGTCAGCTCTCATCCTTAAGGAGCGATTCTGGCGCTTCCCACTCTGGAGAAGCCCAGGTTCTCGCTTGAACACATCTCTCACCCACCCACACGCTTCTCTTAAGGAAATTTTTTGAAATAAAGACGATTTTACTTCTCTTAAAAAAAAAAGTGGGGGGAGGGGGCTGGAGTGATAGTACAGCAGGTAGGGTGTTTGCCTTGCACGCGGCCGACCTGGGTTCAATTCCCAGCATCTCATATGGTCTCCTGAGCACCGCAAGGAGTAATTCCTGAGTGCAGAGCAAGGAATAACCCCTGTGCATCACTGAGTGTGACCCAAAAAGCAAAAAAAAAAAAGTGGGGGGAGACTAATCTCCTATCGGGGTACTGTGGCTGGGAGAGACAGAGGCTTAGGAAGAGCATCCCCTCCCGGTGTTTTTCCCGCAGGCTCCCAGGTTGCAGAGGGGGTTCGTGCCCAGGACAGTGCCCCTTCCCTCTGCCCATATCCCTGGCCATCTCTTTTTTTTCGGAGGAGGGCGTTATATCTGGCGATGCTTAGGGGTTACTCCTGGCTCTGCACTCAGAAATCACTCCTGGCAGTGCTCGGGGGACCACATGAGATGCTAGGGTAAACCCAGGTCGGCCGCGTGCAAGGCAGACACCCTCCCCGCTGTGCTATTGCTTCAGCCCCCTGGCCGTCTCTTACCTAGCTGAGAAAACCCACTGTGGTTTCTGGTCATCATTCCACGGCTTCCCCAAACCCCACTCCAGAACGCCACAGCTCTCCCTGCATACACAAGGAGTTCCCTTTCATTGGTGGGTGGACGGAGGTGTGGGCCCCACCCCTCAGTGCTCAGGGCTATTCCTGGCACTGTGCTCAGGGCTGATCCCCGAGGGTACTGAAGGCCATCCTTTGTCCGAGGATTCAGATTTGGACCTGCTCTGTGCAAGACCAGAAACTTACTCCCTATACTTCCATACCCCCCCAACTTCCAATTTTTGGTAGGAAGGCTGGGACACATCCAGCAATGTTTAAGAGTTTCTTCCAACTTGGTGCTCGGGGGTTGCCCCTGGTAGTGCCAAATCCGGATAAGAGTCCAAATCCAGGTCTCCTGCATGCAAAGCCCGCGCTCAGTCCTTTGGGCCATCCCAAGGAGGGGCCTTGTTGTAGATCACTGTCACTGTCACTGTCCTCCCGTTGTTCATCGATTTGTTCGAGCGGGCCCAGTAACGTCTCCTTTGTGAGACTTTTTGTTGTTACTGTGTTTGGCATATCGAATACGTCACGGGGAGCTTGCCAGGCTTTGCCATGCGGGCGAGATACTCTCGGTAGCCTGCCGGGCTCTCCGAGAGGGGCGGAGGCCACCTTGAAATTATCAATTACTTTCCATTCCTTCAGCACACAGAAGAAGATGGTGATTTTAGCTTTAAAAAGATAGCTGCTGGAGCTGGAGCGATAGCACACCAAGTAGGGCATTTGCCTTGCACGCCGCCAACTGGGGTGCGATTCCCATCAATCCATATAGTTCCCTGAGCACCGTCAGGAGTAATTCCTGAGTGCAGAGCCAGGAGGAACCCCTGTGCATGGCCGGGTGTGATCCAAAAAGGAAAAAAAATAAATCAGATAGCTGCTGCTGCTTCTTTTTTTTTGACAAAAAGGGTTTTAGGTTCCCTTCATTTGACCATGCATGGCTACCTATCGTGAACTAATTCTTGCTAGCATGAGGTAACTCGTGTCACATGAGTTTGCACTGTGGTTGTACTATTGTCGTCTCTTCAAACGCTCCCCTTGAACACACTGTCTCTGTGTAGTCTCGTTCCTGTGTCCTGAGGCTTGATGCTTTCAGTCTATAGAACTGACTTCCCGAAGCTGAAAAACTGGATCAAAGAACTTTCTGTGCCTTTAATATTTTAAGAGTTCCAGCCAGATTCTTTCCCCCCAAAGGCCAAGTCAATTCTAATCCACAAACTACGTGCCTCAGCTTCTCTGCCACTGAAGCTGCCCCGGGGTTGCTGGCTGTGAGGTGCAGCTGGCCTGTGGAATGCTGATTTCTTTTTTTGTTTTGTTTTGTTTTGTTTTGTTTTTGGGTCACACCTGGCAATGCACAGGGGTTACTCCTGGCTCTGCGCTCAGGAATTACCCCTGGCGGTGCTCAGGGGACCATATGGGATGCTGGGAATGGAACCCGGGTTGGCCGCGTGCAAGGCAAACAGCCTACCTGCTGTGCTATTGCTCCAGCCCCATGATTTCTAGCACACTTGCTGTCCTTAGCGGGCCAAGCCTGGGAGCTTCTCATTGGTTTCTTGGCATTCGCATTTTCTCTCTGAGAGCAGTGGGTTCAGATGCTTGACTTCTTGTTATTTTATTTTATTTGCTTTTTGGGTCACACACAGGGATGCACAGGGGTTGCTCCTAGCTTTGCACTCAGGAATTACTCCCGGAGGTGCTCGGGGGACCATGTGGGATGCTGGGAAAAGAACCTGGGTTGGTCACATACAAGGCAAACGCCCTACCCGCTGTGCTATTGCTCAGCCTCGACTTCTCGTTCTTCTTTGGGGTTTTTTCTCCTTAATTATTTGTAGGCATTTATTGTGCTCAGGGCTGACTCTGTGGGTGGGAGTGCTGCTATGGTGCCCAGGGGTCCTATACAAGGCAAATGTCCTACCCGATCCCTTCCGCCCCAACGTAGACATAATTTTTACATGGCTTTATCCATCACACTCCCCTTTGTGGTTTCTGGACCACTAGTCTTAAAAAGTATTGGCCCTGAGGTTGCTCAAAGTCTCCCTTCCAGAGAATCTTGGTACTCTGCTGGGTGGTGTAGCAATACTGCAGATATAAACAGTGATGTTGGCATCACTATAAAAAATAATATCAGGGGTTGGAGCAATAGCACAGCTGGTAGGGTGTTTGCCTTGCACGTGGCTGACCCGGGTTCGATTCCCAGCATCCCATAGCGTCCCCCGAGCACCACCAGGAGTGATTCCTGAGTGCAGATCCAGGAGTAACCCCTGAGCATTGGCTGGGTGTGACCCAAAAAGAAAAAAATATCAGAGATTAAAAAAAAATCCTCCCTTTCCTCCATAGTATTTTTGGTTTTCTCTGGCTGTGCCAGAATTGAACCCCAAGCCTCACACATGCAAGGCAAGTCCCCTAACATTGAGCCACATTCCTGGCCCTCTCACCCGAAATAGCATATTTAACCGATTATATCTTTAACCTGCCATGGAATTATGGCCTTATTCATCTAATTACTCTTGTATCCAAATCGTGGCAGTGCGACAGTTCCCAGGCCTAGGGTGCAACCCCGAGAGGGAACATCTGCCTTGCCTGAGTGAGGCTCTGGGCTGGAGTCCTGCCACTGCAAAACAAACCTCATCATGGCAAAGACACAATGTTTTACTGGCAGGTGGCACACGGGTGGTGCTCAGGGGCTACTTCTGGCTCAATGCTTGGGAGGTGGGGCCCACATCTGGCAGAGTGAGGGGACCATTCAGTGCCAGGAGTCAAACTCAAGGCACCGGCCTACTATCCATGGATTCCAGCCCTTTGAGCTCTCCGCCAAGCAAAGGAAGAGATTGTTTTATTTTCATGCCAATGGTTAAGTATGCAAACACCACTTATTAGTTTAGCCACTGTTTTTCCACTACATTGAAAAGGCCTCCTCTGAAGGCTGGAGCGATAGCACAGTGGGTAGGGCGTTTGCCATGCACACAGCCAACCCGGGTTTGATTCCCAGCATCCCATGTGGTCCTCTGAGCACCACCAGGCGTAAGTCCTGAGCATAGAGCCAGGAGTAACCCCTGTGCATTGCCAGGTGTGACCCAAAAAGCAAAAAATAAAATAAAATAAAACGCCGCCTCTCTTCCATTGGTATTTGGGTGGGGGGCGCTTCCTGAGTAGAGCCACTCGTGCGCTACTAAGTCTTCCAGGTCAGACAACAGAGGGCTTGGAGGTGTGTGGGGCAGTGCGGGGTGGCCCTGTGTGGGGGTGGGCACGGGCCTTCTCATCCTGGGCATGCGTCCTGGCCTTTGGAGCAGCTCTCTGTCCCTCTAATGGTGCATTCTTCTTGGTTCTGGTTAGAGGCTGCTTGGCATGACCAAGTGTCACTCTTGGCTCTGTGGCGGTGGCTGAGTGGCTATCATGCCCCATGTCCTCTGTCTAGGGAAGAGAGCCCTGGTGGTCCTGGCCCACTCCGAGAAGACATCCTTCAACTATGCCATGAAGGAGGCGGCCGTGGAGGCCCTGAAGGGGAAGGGCTGGGAGGTGACCGAGTCGGACCTCTACGCCATGGACTTCAACCCCCTCATCTCCAGGAAAGACATCACAGGTACCGCCAGCACCCCGAAGCCTGAGGTCTCTCCGCTCCCTCTCCCCTGGGCCTCGCAAGCCTCCCAGGCCCCAAGCCTCAGTTTCTCTTTGTGCCCTGCAGGTAAACTGAAGGACCCCGAGAACTTCCAGTATACTGCCGAGTCTGTCCTGGCATATAAGGAGGGCCGGCTTAGCCCAGACATTGTGGCCGAACAGAAGAAGCTGGAAGCTGCGGACCTTGTGATTTTCCAGGTGTGGTGGAGGAACAGCAGGGCTGGATCTGGGAGAGAGATCGGGAGCTCAGTACGCACTCCGCAGGCAGGATGCCTGGCGCCTGGCATTAGGTCCCCTGGTTACTGCTGACGGCACCTGGCACCGTGCAGCTTCCTGACCGGCTGCAGCTGCGCTCCTGCCCGTCCCAGGCGGCTGCCCTCCACTCAGCACGCAGGACTGCCGCCGCCTGCACCGTGTGTCTGGCTTCTGCCCATGTTGCTGGCTTTTGACATCGCTCCAGCCCTCTTGGCCCATGTTTCCTACCACATTCCCCATGCTGGCAGCGGCAGCCCCAGTCCCGCCTGTCAGAATCACTGTTTAGAAGGACTAGAAAGGGGGAGCCGGAGCCATAGCACAGTGGGGAGGGCGTTGGCATCCCATATGGTCCCCCAAGCACCTCTAGGAGTGATTCCTGAGTACAGAGCCAGGAGGAACCCCTGAGCCCTGTCGGGTGTGACCCCCAAAAGAAAAAACAAAACAATACAAAACAAACCCCAATTGGAAAGGATCTTGGTTAAAACTTTCTCTGGGATGCACGACCTCCCTTTGCCTTTGATACCGATTGTTTGTGCCGCAATATAGCACCACGCTGAAGGCAATAGAGCCCGTGCTGATGTGTCCGCTCCATTCCCCAAGACCCTGGGCAAGAGCCCAGGGCACTTTGCCTTGTGCCTGGGGAAAGAAGAAGCGCCTTAACTCACACCAGGGGTTGTGGGGGCCAAACCCTGCTCTGGTGTCTCTTCATGACGGAGAACCAGTTTCCTGTACCCCGTCAGCCAACCGATTCTGTTCTCAGCTTGAACAGAACATCCCCAGGGCACAAAGTCATTTCCCCAAACCACCTGCACATTCACCTTAGGAGCTGCAGACGGGGTGACCCTCAGACCGCAGACAATCTCGAGAAGACCAGTGAGTGCCTGAGGGGCAATGGTCACTCGCACAGCAGGTGGGAGATCCTGGCAGGGTAGATGGGGCTCACATTGAACCAAAGATTCCGTACTCCACTGGACAAAGCCAGGACGCCCTGCAGATTCCTTTTCAGATGGAGCGTTATTCCCTTCTGGAAAGTGATGGTGATTTTTAATTCCTGAGTCAGGAGGAGGAGGAGGAAGAACACCTCTCCCCTTTATCAGGGCTAAGCCAAACACTTTCTTCCCTGGTTGCCTGGACAGCCCAGGCCGTTAGTTTGCTTGGGAGCGGGACTGTGCGTGCCACGACTGGGTCCCCCAGGGCTGGGAGCACAGTCCAGGCTTTATCATTTGGTGCCACACCTTCTAAAGTGATTTAGAAGGCACCACATCCAAGCAAACCTTATCTGCAATGGCTGGGAGGCTTTGCTGCCAAATGTGATTTTGTAACACATGCTTTTTATTTAGGGCTGGAGTGATAGCACAGTGGGTAGGGTGTTTGTCTTGCATGTGGCTGACCAGGGTTCAATCCCCGGCACCCTATACCATCACCAAGGCCTCACTAGGAGTGATCCCTGAGTCCAGAGCCAGGAGCAAGCCCTGAGCACACAAAGAAAAAAAAAACTGGCCTGGGGATTTCTCTAAAGATCAGAAAGAGAAGCAGCTAACCGACTGATTCCAGAACGGCCACTTTCTTTTCTTCAATGTGCTAAGTCAGGTATCCACAATTAGTTGCCCTCTTTCCAGAAGAAAATCACTTAGCATTACCTTAGAAATCTACTTTCTTTAAGCCAACAACGGGGGGCTGGAGCAATAGTACAGTGGGTAGGGCGTTTTCCTTGCATGCAGCCAACCCGGGTTCCATCCCCAGCATCCCATATGGTCCCCTGAACACCGCCAAGGGTAATTCCTGAGTGCAGAGCCAGGAGTAACCCCTGAGCATTGCCAGGTGTGACCTAAAAAGAAAAAAAAAAACAAAAAGGAAAAATCAGAAAATGTCCTCCAGCTGCAACTGAGGTGACTAGGACTGTCCCTGGGGAGCTGCATTGGCTACTTTGGGGAACGCTGTTCTGAGTTCCGGAAGGGACAGGGCGGGCAGAAGAGCAGCTCAGCGAAGAGCCGGGCCTGACCTCTGTCCTCTCTCCGTAGTTCCCGCTACAGTGGTTTGGAGTGCCTGCCATCCTGAAAGGCTGGTTCGAGCGCGTGTTAATCGGGGAGTTTGCTTACACGTATGCCGCCATGTACGAGAAGGGGCCCTTCCGGGTAGGTGTGCTCTGCCCCCAGGGGGTCTGTTCCGAGGCTGACTGGGCACAGGCAGGGGCTGACCCACCCTGGGTATCTTTAGGTGAGCTTGGGAAGATTCCCTCGTTGACAGGACATGATGCTTGGAACCGACTTGAAAATATACTGAGGAGGGGGAACAGAGCCAGGAATAAGTTCTGAGCACCCCAAGGTGTGGTCCCCAAACTGAAAACAAAACAAACACACGAGGGGCTCCATCCCCGGCACCCCATCTGGACCCCGTGAGCAACGCCCAGAGTGATCCCAGAGCACAGAGCCAGGAGTAAGCCCTGAGTACCGCCAGGTGTGGCCCTCAAATCAAAAGCAGGAAGGAGTGAAATAAATTGTTCCATGAGTAAGGGAGGCCAGGGGCTCTAACAGAAAATGAGACTGGCAGATCCGAAGGGTTGAAGCTGTGGGGTGCGGGAGGTGTGTGGAAGGTAGATTCTGAGAGTTCCAAAGTATGAAAGAGTAAAGAAAGCCGTCTTCAGATGTCAGAGATGCAAATCTGGAGGCCTGGGTTTGATGTTCTGCATTGTATGTCCCCCATACGAGGCTGGAGCAGCCCCCAAGAAATCCAAATGTGGCCCCAAAACAAGGGGTTAAAAGAGAAAGGAGCAGGGGCTGGAGCAATAGCACAGCGGGTAGGGCGTTTGCCTTGCATGCAGCCAACCCGGGTTCGATTCCCAGATCCCATATGGTCCCCTGAGCACTGCCAGGGGTAACTCTTGAGTGCAGAGCCAGGAGTAACCCCTGTGCATCGCCGGGTGTGACCCAAAAATCAAAAAAAAAAAAAAAGAGGGAGAGAAAGGAGCAACAAGCAAAGAGCAGGAAGGGACCCCTCTTTCCTGCTGAGCCCAGCCAGGATGGGCTCCTGGGCCCGCAGGCTGAGAGCCCGCGTGAAGCCACAGACAGAGCAAACGGGGCAGACCCGGGTGTTCCCTGCTGGGGGTAGTTTTAGAAGTGCCCCGTCTGAGGGTGACGCCTCATCTCTTGCAGAATAAGAAGACAGTGCTCTCCATCACCACAGGTGGCAGCGGCTCCATGTATTCGCTCCAGGGCGTCCATGGGGACATGAACGTCATTCTCTGGCCGATTCAGGTACCTCCCTGACTACCAACCTTCAGGGGGATTCATTACTTGCGCTTTCTCTGGGGTTCGGAGCCCCCGGGGAGCAGCTGAGAACAGACATGAGACGTGAAGAAGTGGCTGGAGAGTGCCCCGTTGCTTCCTCTTAGGACAATCCTGTGTCCCCAGGCCCCTGGACCCACAGAGCAGCCGTCAGAGACCCTCACCTCCACTCCCATTCTCTCCTGCCCCTACACCCCGGGGGCCACGGACCCCAAACTTTCCAAGCCCCTGATCTCCCAATACTCCCTCCCACAGTCTCCCAGGTCGGTGGGGCCCAAGGCCACTCTAGTGATGAGTTAGTCCAGTGAATGAATCTGAAGTCCAGAGGGGGGCTTTAGGGCGGTGACCGGCCTCTTAAGATAATGTCTCTCGTGAGAGGGCGCTGGGCAAATGAGGTGGCCGCGGTGGGGCAGAAGAAAGGTGACAAAAGTGAGGCGCAGAGCAGAGGAATGCACAGCTGCCCGCCTGGGCACTTGTCACCTGCCAAGAAGCTGCAGCTCTCCCTGATGTAATAGAACTTCCGGCACTTTTGGCAGAGGATCCGGGCTGGCAGGGTTTCAAGATTTTATTCACTTAGAGGAGAGCACAGCTGAATGGGCTAAAATAGGCAACAGGCAGGCCCAGGGAGCAGACGGGGAGGGAGCGTGGCCGGGAACCGGCTCTTCGGGGCACCTCCAGTCTCTCATTTGGACAGACCGGATGCGCACCCCTGAGGGGCTGGGGTTTGAGCTGGGCAGGGCTTGGTGTCTCCTCAGAGCGGCATCCTGCATTTTTGCGGCTTCCAAGTCCTGGCACCGCAGCTGACCTACAGTATCGGCCACACTCCCGCTGACGCCCGGATCCAGATCCTGGAAGGGTGGAAGAAACGCCTGGAGACCATCTGGGACGAGCCCGTTCTCTATTTTGCTCCAAGCGACTTCTTTGATCTGAACTTCCAGGCAGGGTTCTTAATGAAAAAGGAGGTCCAGGAAGAGCAGAAAAACAAGAAAGTCGGCCTTTCCGTGGGCCACCACTTGGGCAAATCCATCCCGACTGATAACCAGATCAAAGCCAGCAAATAAGATTCAAACACTTTAATTTCCTTTAAAAAAAAAGCCAGGTCCGGGCTTCTCTAGCTGGCATCCTTGATTTACTTTAGTTTTTAGAGGTGCGAGTGACTCTCTTCCTACCAGGAATGAGAACAGACTGTATCCCTACATTCTGGGCTAGTTTTATTATTAAACCTGATTCTCAGATCTTGGAAAATCTGACTAGGCACAAGGGGCTACTGAAGATGTAAAAAGTAGGTGGGCCGGAGAGACAGTACAATGGGTAGGGCATTTGCCTTGCACACAGCCAAGGTGTGCCTCCAAAAAAAAAAAAAAGATGTAAAACAGGAAAAAGTAGAAAGATGCTAGGCAATATTCTTTAATATCTTCTACAGAATTTGACTCTTTTAGAGAGTGTTTTTGTAGGGAAAAAAATCTGGATTGACAGCATTCAACTCATTATCTATTTTTAAATTACCTCTCTGTGGCTTATGGCAGCAGGGAATTTGCTTAGAGAAAGAAATGACTGAAGCTGTCTGACCTCAGGGACTTGCTGAGCATTAGTGATCCATAGTTGTTTATGAGGTATAAATACATTATGCGATATTGGTTTAATTGCTGCACAGTGACCGACGTTCCCATTGTGAGTTACTCTCCCTTCAGCTTTTGTTGTTGGATACAGATACCCAAGTACCTTGAAATAAAAGCTAATTAAAAAGTCTCTTATTTAACTGTCTTCTAAATTTAATGTCTGCAGAAATAAACCAACACATCTCAAAACACTTTCGTCCACAAACAATCCTTCTGATGTGTATAAACCGCAAAGATTTTTTGTCTTCACCAGTCATCACTGCCTAAATCGTTTGTTTGTTTTGGTGGGGGGGAGGCACACCCAGGTGTTCAGGGCTTACTTTTGGCTCTGCACTCAGGGCTCACTCCTGGAAGGCTTAGCGGATCATATCCTGGGGACGGAACCCAGATTGGTCGCGTGAAAGGAAGCACTTACCTGCTGTACTATCTCTCTGGCTCCTGACTTTCATTTCACTTACTTACTTGTTTTTATTTGGGGACAGGCCAAATAAAAGTTACTCCTGGCAGTGCTCAGGGGACAATATGAGCTGGGGATGAAACCAGGCCTGCTGCGTGCAAAGCAAGAGCCCTGCCCATTGCCATACTATGGCTCCGACTGCTGACACTCCCTTTGAAGACATGCTCTGATTCCACGACTTTGGAAATAGAACGTGAGCCTAGACTCTCACCAAATTTGGCACTCTTCTTTCTTGAGGGGGACGCACACCCGGCTCCGAACTCAGGGATCATTCCTGGCGGGCCTGAAGGACCACACGAAGTGCTGGGCATTCCTTCTGGACACTAACTTAAGAAATCTGGATTACACCAACTTTTCTAGAAGACTTGCAGACCCATCTGCAGATCTTCAGATCAATCTTGTGCCCACATATGCAGCTTTTTGAATCAAAGTACTTTTCACGTCTATACTTATTAAATTTCATCTGGTGATCTGATTATAACGTCTAGAGATGTTGAAAGTTGAGACTTAATTGTTTTTGCAGTGCCAAGGGTCTAACCTTGTGCCTCATGCATTCAATGAGAATATTCTACTGCTGAGCTACATTTCCTGAACTTTTTCTTTTTTGGGGGGTGGGGGAGAGCACACACGGGAGTGCTCAAGGGTTTCTTCTGGTTCTACGCTTATCCTCGCAGGGCTGGGGGGACCATGTGTGATGCCAAGGATTGAACCATGTTGGCTTCATGAAGGTAAATGCCCTACACACTGTACTCTCTCTGGCCCCTCAGCTCTTATGGGGATGGAGGGCAAATATGACAGTGCTCAGGGGACCACATCAATACGGTCCACATAAGGGACATGTAGGGAGTGAATCGAGTTAGCCATGGGCAAATGCCTTAACCCCTTTCCATCTCACTAAAACTCACCTCCCCCCAACCCGACCCCCTCCAAGAGAATGAGGTGGTCCAGGTCTCCCTATGAATTTTCACCCTGAAATGTTGGGGCAGCCCGGAAGTACTTGGAGGCCACCAGGATTTATTCATAGTGGTGCCAGGGACTGGACTTAAGGCCTTGCCCCCATCCCTTGAACCATGTCCTTAGTCTTAAAAAGAAAACTTTTATTGTTATTTTGGTTTGGGAGCCGCACCCAGCAAGTGCTCAGGGATCAGTCCTGGGAGAGCTCAGGAGACCCTATCAGGCACCAGTATCAAACACAAATTCGGGCTGGCAGTGTGCAGGGCAAGCATCCACCCACTGTGCTACAGTTCCATTCCTTAAAACTCTTGCTTTTGATGGGGCTGGAGCAATAGCACAGCGGGTAGGGCGTTTGCCTTGCACGCGGCCAACCCGGGTTCGATTCCCAGCTTCCCATATGGTCCCCTGAGCACCTCCAGGGGTAATTCCTGAGAGCAGAGCTAGGAGGAACCCCTGTGCGTTGCCAAGTGTGACCCAAAAAAGCAAAAAAAAAAAAAAAAAAACCAAAAAACCTCTTGCTTTTGAGTAACACCTGGTGGTGCTCAGGGCTCACTCCTGTTGGGCTCAGTGGACCATACTGGGTGCAGCAATCAAACCCAGGTTGGCTCTGTGAAAGGCAAGAGCCCTACCTGCTGCACTATCTCTCTCGTCCCAAAGGAAAACTTTTAAACACATTTAAGAACACATTTACTTTGTTGAAGTATGAATGTTCTTTTAGAGGGAAAATTGATTACATTATGTGTGTGTTTTGACTTGGATGTGTTAATACTGTTACTACTAGGCCAGAGATAGTACCGGGCTCACAAGGTACATGCCTTGTACATGGCAATCTCTGGTTGATCTGAGCACCTTTGAAGTGATCCCTGGGCAGAGACAGGAGAGATAAAAGAGCAGGCAGGGCTCATGCTTTGCACACAGCTGACCTGCGTTTGATGCCCAGCGCCCCAGTCTCCTGTCTGCCAGGAGTAAGTCCTCAGCAACATGAGGCGCAGCTCCTGTACGATGACACTAGTTTGTCTTCCTCCCTTGCCACAAGGATCTCAGGTTTATTACAGTGCTCCCGAGGCACTTCCATTCCATTGTGTTTATCTGTAAACTCTTTCCTATGCTCTCCCCCCCAACCTGTTAATCAGCTTTTTCCCCTACTCAGACTCTCTTAAGTTGCAAGGTCAGATTTCTCAGAAATCTGTGATTTTGTATGTATGAGTGAAATATTGTCTCTCTCCTCTCCTTGTCCAACAAACATATAATATAAATCATTTTGTATGGATATAGTAAGAAATGGGCTGGAGCGATAGCACAGCAGGTAGGGCGTTTGCCTTGCGAGCAGCCAACACGGCCGACCCGAGTTCGATTCCTCCACCCCTCTCGGAGAGCCCGGCAAGCTACCGAGAGTATCTCGCCTGCACAGCAAAGTCTGGCAAGCTCCCCGTGAGGTATTCGATATGTCAAACACAGTAACAAGTCTTACAATGTTACTGGGCCCGCTCGAGCAAATCGATAAACAACGGGAGGACAGTGACAGTGACAGTACTTTAAACTTATAGAATTGCTCTCCTAGGGCCATCTCAATCTCAGACTACAGTGCTCAGGCGAGATAATCTTTCTAACCCTAGCAGGGTCCTAGTCTCGTCGTTACTTTTGGATCATGACAACATTTGTCTATGATCAAACTCTTAACTTATAGTTAAGATCTTGGCACTTTTGCCTGGTCCATTTCGATGCCAGGGTAGCTTACCGCTTGCCCTGGGTCCATTCAGTCCCTCGTCAGGACCCTGCTTTTCGGGTGTTAGGAACTAAGGGCAACTGAAGCTTAAGTCAAGAAAGCAGATGCCCAGGAGTGAATGATATTCAAAGCCAATTAAATCCTAAGCATAATATTAACTGTCTTATATACAAAAGGACCCTCCCGTTGATCGTCGATTTGCTCGAGCGGGCCCAGTAACGTCTCCATTGGAGACTTTGTTGTTACTGTGTCTGGCATATCGAATACTCTCGGTAGCTTGCCGGGCTCTCCGAGAGGGGCGGAGGAATCGAACTCGGGTCGGCCATGTTGGCCGCTTGTAAGGCGAACGTCCTACCCGCTGTGCTATCGCTCCAGCCCGCTGTGCTATCGCTCCAGCCCAGCACAGCGGGTAGGGCGTCTGCCTTGCATGCGGCCAACATGGCCGACCCGAGTTCGATTCCTCCGCCCCTCTCGGAGAGCCCGGCAAGCTACCGAGAGTATTCGATATGCCAGACACAGTAACAACAAAGTCTCCAATGGAGACGTTACTGGGCCCGCTCGAGCAAATCGACGATCAACGGGAGGGCCTTTACTTTACTTTACTTTATACAAAAGGACATTGCTTTAAAGTAAACTATTCTTAAGACATAAGGAGAGGAGAAAGACAATATTTCACTCATACATATAAAATCACAGATTTCTGAGGAATCTGACCTTACATGTTAACAGAGTCTGATTAGGGGAAAAAGCTGATTAACTGGTTGTGGAGGAGAGCATAGGGAAGAGTTTACAGATAAACACAATGGAGTGGAAGTGCCTCAGGAGCACTGTAATAAACCTGAGATCCTTGTGGCAAGGGAGGAAGGACAAACTAATGTCATCCTACAGCTCCAAACAAAAACAAACTCAGAGAAGCCCCTGAGGACTGCCAGGTGTGATCCCACGACAAAAAAAAACAAAACAAAAAAAAACGGAAAATCAATTAGTTGCTACTACAAAACCAACAGACTATTATTTTTTAGTAGGATATATGCTCAGCAGTACTCTGGTGCCACCTTGTAGTGGTCACATGCGACGGCCATGGTGATACTCAGCCTTACACATGTGCCTGTGTTTTACCATTTGAGCTAGCTCCAGGCCCCACACATTACCTTTGATAAGAAAGCTTAAGTGCACCGTGTAAAGAAGCACATCAGAAGCTTTTTTTTTTTAATTTTTTTTTTTTGCTTTTTGGGTCACACCCGCCGATGCACAGGGGTTATTCCTGGCTCTGCACTCAGGAGTTACTCCTGGCGGTGCTCAGGGGACCATATGGGATGCTGGGAATCGAACCCGGGTTGGCCGCGTGCAAGGCAAACGCCCTACCCACTGTGCTATCGCTCCAGCCCCAAGCTTGTTATTTTTAAGTTATATTTGTAATAGCCTTGCACTATTTTATTAACATTTTTCCTTAACTCTTTTTTCCTCAGTCTACTATGTATAAACATTTTTTCTAATGCATATTAAAACGTCTAGTATGTTTAAAAGTAATAGTTGCCCATGCTTAACTTGCAATCATTTTTAGTACCACTACAGATACGCTGTTTTATGTACCATATTCTAATAAACATAAATTTAGTCTGTGGAAATAATTTCCAGAACACACAAAAAAGACTGCCTCTGGATATGGGACTAAGACAGTTCTCAACAAAAGCATTTCCATACTACATGAACTGCTATCACGTTATTTAAACTAAGGAAGATACGAATTCTGACAGACCAAGTCACTTTGTTTACTGTCTGGCAAACTTCTAGGCACACAGTAAATACCTTATAGTAATGTTTCATTCATTTTTCTTTTCTTTTTGCTTTTTGGGTCACACTCGGTGATGCACAGGGGCTATTCCTGGTTCATGCACTCAGGAATTACTCCTGACGGTGCTCAGGGGACCATATTTGACACTGGGAATCGAACCAGGTTTGGCCGCATGCAAGGCAAACGCCCTACCGGCTGTGCTATCACTCCAGCCCCTCCTTCATTTTTCTAAGTGATTTTATAATCAAGCTAATTGAAGTTGACATTCATGAATATGATATTCATAAAGTTTGGGGGGGGAAGGAAATTAAACACTGCAAAATGAAAACTTTCAATGTTTATTTTTGACTGCAGCTGTTTACAGAAATATATTGCGAGTATACAAATGTTCTGATAGAAGCAAAATATCTTTTTAATATTTAACAAGTTATCACAGATAGCTAAAAACATATATGCAAATTAAATTCCCCCAAAGAACAAACTGAAGTATCTGGTGTCAGTGCTCTGAATCTCAACTATGAAAGCCATATACACAAAAATGTGACCTTTATGTCATTGCAGAACAATGGAAGAAGGCAGTTCAGTGGTTGATCAGTGTGCTCAAGCAAATGAAATTAAATACAAAATTTAAATGGCAAAATGACAGCCAAACCACTTGAAAATAGGTTAACATGTATAGTATATGAAAAGACTAAAAGAAAATAAATGTCTAAAAGTAAGCATTTACTTGGAGCTTATCAATCAGAAGGAACAAGGTCAGCAGATACATTCATTCGATCAAAAGACTCAGCTCAAGATCACGGGAATCAGTGTGTAGCTGTTAAAGTCATGAACACTTCAGTGTAGGACATTTGCCTGATTCCAAACCCACTCTCAAACATCTGATACGCTGGGTGTATGTTTGTGTTATCTTGTCCTGAGATTCATTAGCTAAAATAATAAGGAATCCCCTACAAATGATTTCAAACCAGAAAAATTTCTTCTTAAAAAACAAACAAACAAAAGAAGTAGGGATGATAGGGTTAAACATGTTTCTTTTTCACTGGTTTTTGGGCCACACCCAGAGATGCTCAGGGGTTACTCCTGGCTCTGCACTCAGGAATTACTCCTGGCATTGCTGGGGGACCATATGGGATGCCAGGGATTGAACCCGGGTCAGCCGGTGCACAAGGCAAATGCCCTACCTGCTGTGCGATCGCTCTGGCCCCTAAACATGGGGCTTTGAAAGGAGATATTATAAGGCTGGGGAGGCACCGATGTCACTCAGTGGTAGAGCACGTTTTTTATGTATGAAACCCTGGGTTTGATCCCTGACAATGGGGGGAAAAAAATCAACAAGTTGAAATCAAGCATAATTGTGATAGAATGCTTTGGATTTAAGCATAGAATATTCAATAAGGTGGGGATGTGGGGAGAGGGAGTAAGAGGGAAATAATGTAGCTAAAGCATCTCCCAACAATTTACCTATTTGCCAGCACCAAAGTTTGTAGAGTAAGCCACTTATTTCCACTGCTAGTGTTAAGTAAAAAAAGCAGTGATTTTTATATAGTGCACATTTTATTTTGAAATGTGCATAATCTTTCATGAGTTAACCGATGATTTGTAAACAGTGGTAGGAAGATTGGAACAATTACATAGTTACTGAATGATACAGGGAGATTAAAATGAATAAATGTACTTATCTTGTGGTTAATCAAAACCCAATTATATATGTACGGTTTTCTTAAAATTTATTTTAGTAAACAACATGTCTCAAGCATAAGTTCCAAGAGTAGCTCTTGTACTTTAAAATGTTTTTTAAATTTTTGTTACTTTTGGGCCATACCTGGGCATGCTCAGGGATTACTCCTGGCTCTTTGATCAGGAATCACACCTGGCAGGTCTCAGGGAACCATATGGAGCATTAGGGATTGAATCCTGGCCTGCCACATGCAAGGCAAGCATCCTACCTGCTGTCCTGCAATAGGATAGATAAGTTTTATCTGTTAAAAAAATAATTCTGCTTTTCTGACCTGACTAGCCATTTTATTTGGTATCTCAGATGTACATGAGTACATGAAAGGGTAAATAATTTAGTTCAGAGAGTCGGTCTAGTCAGAGCAAAACTGTGGTCTGCTGGTAAAGAGGCAATGAATGGACAGTTTGTATTATCACTGCCCATGATATACCAATTTGAGGGATAAACAAGAGGCTTTAGCACCCATCAGTAATATTAGCTACTTAAATATCATAAGAATTCAAAGAAATATTGTATATTGCACTTACATATTTCAATCAGCCATTTAATGTAAACTTTTTAGTAAATGGTAGGGAAATCCCAAACTAAGTTAACCAAATTATCAGTAACTTGTATGTACTTAAAATATATTGTCTTTCTATAGGCAATTCTTAGAATAAACTGTTACTGCCAATAAATGATTATGGGTAACCAAGTCAAGCTGAATTTACATAAAGAATAATATATACTGGCATCTACATAGACAGTGGAAAAACTTTCTAGATCTTACTGAATTTATATCATTTATACTAGTGCCTAAACTTGAATGTGCGTTAGAATCATCTGGACGGCTTAAGACAATCGCTTGGCCTTTATTCCAACGTCTCTGATTCAGTATGCCTGGGATAGGGCTCAAGTATTTACATTTATAAATAAACATTTGTAGGTGTACTGATGTTGGCTGGTAGGCTGAGGAGTCATACTTTAAGAATCAATGATTTCTATACAGTATATATAGAGAAAATTATACCATATATTCTTACATACATAACACAAAACACAGAAGAGGGCTCGCTGGCTCAACTCTCAAACATGTAATTCAGTAAGTTGAGCATTTTAACATTTCTAAAGTGATCTGCTGAAATATAATCATTTCTCTTGACAGCCAATTACACTTTAAAGTGTTGAGACCTACATTAAAAAAAAAAAGTGTTAAGACCTACAATATAGTCATTTTAGAAAATAGTTATATAACAGTAAATGAAGTTGGCTAACGAAGTAAAAAGGAACATAAATATTATAAATAGTTAAGATGTACTAAGAAGGAACTACCACTACACAGCATTCTTGACTTCTCTGCATTGAGTAAAGTGCATTAATACCACTAGTGTATCAAGGATATTGCATTAAAGGTCTGTATCTTCAGTGCCACTATAGTCAGGGAGTATTTGCACAGGGAAGGCCACTCTAGCTCTGACTGTCCTAACATGATACTGCTGGTCCTTTCTTCAGAGTACCATCCATCATGTTATAAAGCTGGAACACAGGCAGAATTGATAAAAAAAAAAAAAAAGGGAATAGTCAATCCAACAATAAATGGCTACAAGGAAATACCTTAGTTTTTTTGGGACTCAGATGTACTATCTTCATTTCTTTGGACATTGTTTTTCCTAGGCGGACTACCTGAAGTTCTGATAAGTACATTATAATGAATTACTTAGCTCTGTCCAATTAGAAAAACTGACACTACATTGAAATTATGTGTTGCTAAGTAATTTATTTTCATCAGAAGAGGCTTCAAACACTTCCTGACATTTAACTACATATATGTGTCCATGGACTTTGAAACACAGTGTAAATTTCACTGGCAGTGAAATAAAAAATGATCATTAATTGGTTGAAATGAAGATACATTTAAAAAAGCCTAAGCAGTATAATTCTGTAGTTTTGTATGTGTTTGAGGATGGGGAGAGGGCATACCTGGCAGTGTTCAGGGACTTATGTAGTACCAGGGATATAACTGGGATGGGCCGCATACAAGGCAGTGCCTTAATTCTGTGACCCCTAATTCTGGAATTTCTTAATTACCCTGGCTCAAAGGAAGAGTTCTAATAGCTTTTCTAATACTTTTATACCAAAGGGAATTAGAAACTTAAGTTGTTTTCTAAAAGTAATCAAGAGGTGAAAAAAAATGAAAGATAAAATAGAAAAATATAAAGTCAGGGTTTTTAAAAACCACTTGTTTTTGTGTTTTGGCAATACAACAGCAGAAAAGGAAATTATAAGAAAGGGGCACTATCCTGGTTTAAAAAAAAGGCACTTTTCCATAAGCATTTAGATATAAAATAGTAATTAAAAATATTTCCTAAAGGATAAAGTGGGGGGAAAATAGAATTTATTATTACATGAGGCAAAATAGCTTAAAATAAATGACTGAAGAATCAGGGCAGTGGGGCAATTCACAAATGATATTGTATTTTAATATTTATTAAAATTATAAACATAAGCTCTATGACTTAGCCCTAGTGATACAAACAGGCAGAGAAGAAATCCTCTATTTATTGTTTGATTTTTGGGCCACACCCAGTGGTGCTCTGGGCTCTGTGCTGAGGGATCACTCCTGTGGGGATGGTGGGACCATATGGGGTGCTAGGGATCAAACCCAGGTTAGCTGTGGGCAAAGCAAGCATCCTACCTATTGTATCAATTCAGCCCCAAATCCTCTTTTTATAAATGCTTATTCTACCAACCCATTTATTAGGGTATAAACTTGAAGTTATTTAAACAATAAAGTGACTAAACTGTACAGTCTGTGTTTCACTGCATGCCTCCATCACAAAGGCATGCAGATACAACAGGGCTGTCTCGGTTAAGGATGAAACCTGGGGTCATGAAGCAGAATAAAGAGGTTTCAAACAAACTTTCAATTACAAAAATACCAGGAAACATATTAAAACATAAATTTTATCAGAAATATGAGCACTCTGAAATTATTTCTAGTGAATATTTATAAACCACGTTGAATTCCAGGCTGGTCATTAAAGCATTTAATCTGGTATTTAATTATTGATGTCTCTGAACAGATTTCACATTTGGAAAACAAGCGTTTATAATGGCTTAAATGGTCAAAAGGAATCATTATCTTAGTTCTAGAAGGGCTCAGATATAACTTCTCTCACATTTCCTTTGACACTATTTTTCCTAGGCACATAAATTGATGTTCTGATGGGTGAAAAAGACACTATAATAAAATTCCCAACTACAGCATATACAGTAGGTAAAAAAAAAAAAAGAAAAAAAAGAGAGGCAAGGAAGAACGGAGGAAGAAAAGCAAGTAAGTCCCTTATTAACAGTGCACGTATAATAAACAAAGCCTTTAAAACAACCTGCTCCAGAGTGACTAATAAAAACAGATTTACATTGGCTAAATAATGACATGATTATTTTATCTTATTACAAACACAACATGAAAAAGCTTGGAAACAAAATGACTTGTAATTTTACCTTCCCCCATTGTTGGTATTGTTATAAAATGGAATGACAATAAAGAAAAACATACATACACAGAGATAAGCTCCAAGCATTAATGTGAGTTGCTAAAAGCAAGAACGTAACAGTGTAAAGTAATAAAATGTGGTTCATAATTTAGTCTTTCTGCCATAAATACATAAAAAATTGTTTTCAAGGCCTTTGCTGGCTCACTGTCTTCTTTAAAAAAGCAACAACTTGTAACAGTAATCTGAAACTGTATTATTAATTAGCACATGTATCAACCACTGACCACTGAGCAATTCTTCAATAAGAAGACAAATACTTTTTGTAACCAAATTGTATATTAAGATATGCGTCCTTAAGTTAACATTGACCTTTAGAGTAAGGGACATTTAACAATGTTAAAAAAAATTTTAAATCCATCATTACTGAATATGAATATGGTAGCATAGCACAGCCCTTGTATAAATAACCACAAAATTTACGAAAATAAAAATTGGGTTTTCTGCCTCCATTCAATCATAGTACTACAGTTCAGGTGTTTGTTCTGTTCTAAACTTAATTATTATAAAACAGAATATTGGTCCCTGGTGACTTGGCATTGGCAACTTGCATTTTACAATGATAAACCCTTTGCTAAATAACAGAACAGAATTCAGCACACAAGCCAGTCTTCTCGCCATCACTTCATCCACAAAGCAGTGTTAATTATTTTTTTTAATTGGAATTTGGTTAAGAGTCTCCTCTGTAATCTGTTAGGAAAAAATTCAGAAAAACTCAGAAATAAATCCAACACAATTTTATTTCTACTTGTTTTTATACCGGCTGGGAAAGCTTTGAGAAAACCCCCAGCTGTCAGTTTTACACTTTAAAATTGAAGCACTGGATTGTGTGGCTGGTCCTTTTCACAACCTGAACTATACTGGGTAATTTTTCCTAATAAGGGTGGAGAGAAAAGAGATATTGAGGAAAATGCTTTTGGTTCAGAGAATTTATAAAGTAGTTCTGGATATTACAAGATGGGGAAAATGTTATTAAAATTACAAACATGTTTTTTAGTGTCTTTATAAATAATAGGCATAGAGTACAGAAAGCCAATTAATAATAACAATAACAATAATAAAATATTAAATATATAGTGAGCAAAGACAGAATGGCTCATTCTTATGAAACACCATTTGACACACTGCCTTTATGGGTTTCCTTACTCTACATTTTGCTGAGTGAAAAATCCAGCAAACACACAGTAAGTTGCCTTTAGCCCACAATAACATTAAGGAACTGCCTGATGGAATGGCCACCGGATGAACAGGTCATTTGTTTCAAAAGATACTTAAATACTCAATAAAGACATAACAAACCCTCCCCCCCTCACGGTTATCAGACGCCACGTTGTGGTAGAACATCAGACAAACTCACAAATTTACCACAAAAATGTGTGGCAAAAAAAGAATAGTTTATATATATGTATATATATAAATTTCTATATTTATGCCAATGTACTCACTCAGTACAAATAGCAAAATAGTATACCATTTCCTAAATACAAAATATAGCTTTCCAAAAAAATGAAACACACATTAGATATAAACCATCCAAAACTTGAACGATTGAAAACTGTATTCAAAATTAAATGACCCAGAGTAGGTCTCTTTCTGAAAAGTTCCCTTCATATCGGCAAGAAGCCTGTACTACTGAAAACGTAATTCAATGCCTCTCAATCAGAGAGAGAAAGAAAGAAAGGGTTGAGGGTTCAGGGAAGAATATATGAGGACAAGGAGGAAAAAACTCAGAAGAATAGCACATTCAAAGAGTGAAGGAAGACCATCACAAAAGGGGCAGGGGGAATCTGGCGGAAGAAACAAAACCAACACCACTATTCCACAAAGTTCAACTAAATGTATAGGATAGAAACAAACGAACGAAGACCAAAACAGAAAAGTAGCCCTCAACAAACAACTAGCAGGCTATTTTTTTTTATACACTTACAAAAATAAAATGGACAAGAATACCAAAACATCTTATCTACATATAGAAGCCACACACAATTTGGCCATAAACTGTATTAATAGCTTTCTACATGCCAAAAGGAAAGAAAGACATAAGCATGTATCCAGACAACAGGTTGTAGTGAGAAGCAGGCATCCCACGGGTGGTGAGAACACCCAAAACTGTGTAACTAATGCTACAACTGCAAGTTCTGGAGTGTGTGATTTTGCTCTTTATAGATGTAACATGAGTTAATTCTTCATTTTAAGTCAATGATATGACCCTGTAAAGCCTAAGGCTTGTGGGAATCGTCAGTAAGTGACCACTTCAAACTGTAAAGCACTGAGGTGACAAGTGAATTACACTCACTACCGCTCAGGGAGAAGTGATATTTCAAGAAACTTTAGTTTGCTTTTTTCAAAAAATAAACTTTATACTGTTTCCTATTGGGGGGGGGGGGGGGAATTGAAGACTTCAGAACAGCACCGTTCGTGAAAAAATAAAATGCATTGTTTCTTGTTTCTCAGGACTGAAGATAACCCTTCTCCTTTGCCTGTGCTGAAGGAGCTAGTTACTGGGTTACCTCAGATCAAAGTGGCCTTTTCCTTAGCTGCTACAGGGTCACAAAGCTAGCAGTACATTACTAATCATTTAAAAGAAAGTGAGAAATAGGAGGATACAATATAAATATAAAAAGGGAACATAGGTCCAAGACTGGGTTAAGAAAAAACAGACTCAAATTACTGTTAGTTAAAACTACTACAGGAGGACGTCAGAACATAATTTACCATAAAGTCTCCCCTTTGCTTTTTACAGAGCAAGTTAATTACTTTTTTAAGCACAGTTATGGCTAAAACCCTTTAATAGAAACATAGAGAATTCATAACTCTCTGAAAAAATAAAATCAAAAGCATTCCAGCTGTCCCCAGTTTGTTAGGTAAAGAGGTCTCGTATTTGTGGAGAGCTCTTAAGCTTATTTGTCAGAGTAATAGTTTTTCAGTTTCTCTATAAAAACTGAAAAAAAGATTCCTTTACTTTGGCCAACTGAAGAAAAGATTTCTTCACTTTGGTCAACAGTTGTGTTTTTTTATATTGAAAAAGCACAGCCTTGGTTTGATTTTAATCTTACTTTTTCAAAAGCCATTACTTGACTAAAACAATGCAGGAAAATAATGAATAACAAAAGTAAACATGAATTATTTTCTAATAGCAATTATAACTGAGTCCTCCAGCTTTCGAGTTTTAAACTATGCTTATTTTAAAGAAACAGTGCCTAGGAAAATACCAACAATGAACTCTGTCAGCTGGAAACACATATAAGATTCTCAGTCATCACTGTTATTAGAAATAAAATATGGAGACATTAACGGTGGCTAATCACTGCAACAGGTAGCATAGATGTGCTCTTTTGCAGTCAGGGTAGAATCTATCCATTTACTCAATCACAGTTTTTTGTATTTTGTTGTTTTCAAAGTAACAGTTCAATAATTCTCATGGAACCACAAGATCTCAGGGTATTCGTGGAATCAATTTTCTTCAAGGCATTTCTAAAAACAAAAAAACAACAACAAAAGAGTAATTTAATAAAACTGAGCACCACTGAGCATGTGCGCACACACACACACACACACACACACACACACAAATCCAACACTTACAACTCCAGTTAAAAGGAGCCAGTCAGGTTGTTCCCTTGGTTTTGCAATGAAACAAGCAAATCAATCTTTTCCATGTTCTGGTTGGTGTTTATGGAAGACGCCATTGGAGAATTCTCTGACATTTGCTGAGAAAGAAGTGTTGTCACTGGTGGCTGGGCCTCACTTTGTGGCTGACCTGGCTGACTTATGGCCATCAACTGATCTGGCAATGTGGCTGGTCCAGAAGACAAAAGTTGACTACAGTCTGCAGAGACATTTAAAATAGGAGATTCTTGATTAGTAACTTTCCCTTAAGATTCATAAGAAGATACTTAGTAATTGCTGGGGGAAATTTATGGGAGGGTGGGGGGAGGGCAATTTTGGGTCCCACCTAGAGGTGCTCAGGAGTGATCCCTGGCAGTGCTGGGGGGACTATATGCAGTGTTGGAGATGAAACCAAATCAGCCTCAACTAAGTGCCTTACCTCTCTTTTCCCAGAAATTCATTTTTGTATTCACTCAACACGTAACTGAAAGTGATAGTTTAGAGCTCCTGCCTTATACCTTATAATGTATGCCTTAAAAGCATACAGGCATATGCAGATAACATATATGCATACTTATATATGTTTATCTACATACAAGTTTACATATATTTTTATATGCATGTATGTATAACTTACGCAAATAGCTTGTGCCTTTACAGCTGCCCAAAATGTTCTCCATCATAACTGAGATCCTTGGGTTTTCCTCTAAGCAGTGCAAAAATGTAACTTTGCTTATCAATAAATTTATGTCGTAGGTCCTACATAATTTCCTTGGTATACAAATATTAAAGATGGATTTCTACCTCCTTAGAAACTTTCATTGGCTGAGGTATTTTCTGTCATTGTTAAATTATCAGGTTGATGACTTAAAATGGCAAACACATGTAAGCTTTGCTTGCAGGAGTCCCAGGTTCAATGCCAGGCACTCCACAGACCCCTAAGCACCACTGGGAGTGGCCTCCAAGGATCGCCAGGTGTGCACCACTGCCCCAAAGGGAGGGGAAAAAAAAAGAGAAAAAGGCAAACACATATACATTACCAGAATTAATCCTCCCAATATCCTTGTCAAGTATGTGGTATTACCACCATTTTAGATGTGGAAATTGAGGTTCATGCAGATCATAAAACTCGCTCAAGAGCTCAGTCTATAAGTGCTACTATAGCTGGGACTTGAATTCAGTTCTAAGCGCAATCTGTGCTTTTTAAGCCACTGAGTTTTGCTTCCTTCTAATAGTAACAACCTGACCACTTCAATCAATGACTTTTAAGAAATGAGAAAATAGAGTGAGTTTCCTTACTATTTTGAATGCCAAATAAGAACATTCCTGAAGTCTGTTGAGATGACCCAGAAGAATTCTGCAGTTGGTTCATGGTGCCTCCTGTAGTGTTATGAAATAAAGCAGGTTGCGGTTGAGGTGAAGATGTGGCTCCTTGAATGCCAGGCATGTTGTTCTGAGGAGAATAAAGGGGAGACTGCTGCATGTCTTGTTGGTTTATACTGGTCTGCAATGCAGACATGGATGCTGGAGAGAGGAAGAGTGTTACTTGTTGCTCTTGAGAACTGGGTGAGCCTTGGACCAACTGAATCTGAGGAGAGCTGTGGAACAAGGTGCTCTGTGAAGATTCAGACTGCGGAGGACCTGGGTTCGGCAGCGTGGACACCGTGGGCTGGTTCTGAAATTGCATAGGCTGCTGCTCTTGATTCATGGGGGCCATATTACTCTGTTGGTGAAAAATGGATTGATTCTGTTGCTCCTGATTGGCCATTGGATTCTGACTTGGGCTGAACATCATGTTCGGCGACGGCTGCTTCTGAGACGCCATGGTGGCCATGGTATTCTGGCTACTGAATAAGATGCCCTGTGGTTGCTGCGGCTGCGGCTGCGGCTGCTGCTGTGGCTGCGGCTGCGGCTGCTGCTGTGGCTCCTGGGACGGAGAGCTACTCTGGATGGCAACTATTGAGTGCTGCGGCGGGAAGATGGTTCCTTGTTGGTTCTGAGGCATTTGGTTGGGAGGAAGGGAGCCCAGGGACACCTGAGGCTGGAACAGACCTTGGGGTGAGGACTGTGCCTGCTCCTGCGGAAGCATCGGCGTCTGGATGTGTGAGATGGGAGCTTGCTGTTGGAAAGCCGCTTGGGGCTCGGGGTTGGAAGTCGACTGCAGGGGAGATATTGAGTTCTGAGCTGCAAAAAATGAAATCTGCTCTTCCTGGGCGACTGTGTTAGTCTGAAGATTATTCATGGGATTCTGGGAAAGAAATATATTGGCAGGTGGCTGGTCTTGAGGAACAGAAGAACCCTGGAGCACGGCCATGGTACTTTGGGAATGGAACAGTGGAGGCTGCATTGGTTCCGAGGAGGTTGTAGAAGCCTGGCTGTGGACAATAGGACTAGGACTATGAAAAATAGAACCTTGCGTTTCCTGGGAAAGATTCTGAGCCTCAGCAATAGAGTTCTGAGAATGAAAAAGTTGAGCCTGTGAATGAGAAGACTGCTGCAAAAAATTCCCAGGTTGGAGTGAGATCATCTCATTACTCTGCGGGAATAAACCATTGCCTTGTTGTTGGGTACCACTATTCTGAACACTCATCATACCTTTTGGAGTTGGAAAAAGGTTAACTTGAGACTGACTGTCCCCACTATGCTGCATCTGAACCATGGTCTGAAAGACACTGCTCTGAATCTGTTTCGCTTGCGCTGCAGTTTCTTCTCCATCTCCTGAACTTGATGTCTGGAACAGGGCAGTGCCAGGGGTTGCAACCTGCTGCGTGGTGGTTGTAGCTGTTTCATTTCCAGAAACTGCAGGAGGAGAAGAAAACAATTCACACTGCATTTGCATGTCCTCGCTGGAAGGTAACGCACTCATTATGTGAGAAGTCTGCTGGTACACTGGAGACTGCTGAAGGTTTCCGTTCGCTGGAGCAGCTGAAGGGAATAACTCTGACTGAATCTGGGCAGCGGCCTGGCAGATACTCTGCTGCATCTCCATCACCATTGCAGCAGATGACTCCATCACTTGCTGTTGCTGCTGCTGCTGCTGTTGATTTGATAACGTGTTTTCAGTCTGTGAATGAACACCCTCAGCTCTCGCAGCTATTAAATTGTCTGGTCTGGTATGGACCGCAGGCTCTGTGGAGGAGAACATTCCAGGGCTTACACTATTTTGGATCTGACTGACTTGCTGGAAAATGTCTGCGCTAAGCTGTTCTTGAACATTTTCATTACCATCTGTAGCAGAAAACAGAACTGAAGATAACTGTTGCTGTGCCTCTAAAACTTGCTGGACCAAGTCGACGTTTCCGCTGCTGCCACCAGTAGTACTGCCTGTGAAATTTCCTGCTTGCAAATGCTGAATTGTATTCTGTAACTGACTCACGCTATTTGGGGGTGGGAAAATATTTGATGAAATCTGCTGCTGTAAAGTTTGTGCTTGTTCTTGGAGTGGTGACTGCTGCTGCTGCTGCTGCGCCTCAGTCAGGTGCGACAAGTTAACAACTGTCCCATCAGACTGTAACACCTCTCGAGACTGAGTTTCTCTGGTCTGGAACTGTGTAGCCTGCTGGAGTAACGCATCACTGCTTGAAGCAGAAACTGTGGGAAAGGTCCCGGGCTGTGAAATGTCCTGTGTCTGGATAGTTGTTAGGGTCTCTGGGTTGTATGCCTTGGGCTGAATCTGTTGCTGCTTTTCATTTTCAGAAGGTAAGTGGGAAGATGGTGATGAAAAAGATCCACTTCCTGGCATGTTAGAAATATTTTCTAATGTTTGTTGAGTTGATCCAACTGTTTTTGTAGTCTAAAATAAAAAGGACCAAGTCAATATGTAAATATTTAAAGAGCTCCCACAACACTTCAAATGTTATTTAAAAGAACATATACATACGCAGGATAAATTTTCCACTCCCTCTATGTATTTTTTTTTTTAAAGAAAAACAGATTTTATGGGGGCTGAAGCGATAGCACAGCAGGTAGGGTGTTTACCTTGCACGTAGCTGACCCAGGTTCAATTCCCAGTCCCCCGAGCACCGCCAGGAGTAATTCCTGAGTGCATGAGCCAGGAGTAACCCCTGTGCATTGCTGGGTGTGACCCAAAAAAAGAAAAAAGAAAAAAGAAAAACCACCAGATTTTATTTGGCGGTTTTGAAGGGAAGGAGGAAGAGAAAGTGAGAGAGTGGAGAGAGCCCCTACACACATTCCAGCATTAGACAGGAAAGCATGAAAGTACACATCTCAAGAGGGGAGATGTGGGTGACATATACTTGGGCACCACATGTGCTCAGCCATGTGGGCACAAGCAGCATAGGGGCTTGGAAAGCATATGCACTCTAAAAAAAAATCTGGTTTTGGGGCCACACCTGGCACTGCTCAAGGATTATTTCTGGCGGTACTTGGGGATCATACGCAGCTCTGTGCTCAGGGATTGAACCAGGATCAGCCCCAAACAAGGTAAATGCCTTGCTCCCTGTACTATCTTCGCTCTTTCCACTCTCTATGTTAAAAATAATAATAATAATTTTTTCTGGTAGTGTTTAGGATTAAACCAGAGCTTCACACATGAAAGACTCCAAGGCCAGTCTTCACTCTATATTATTTTTGGGGGAAAAAAGAAAAAACCTTAAGGCTATGATTTTCAGTGAAAAGATGTCTGATAGTAACTGGAATTCCCCTGCTATGTTCCTGGGGGATTGAACTCGGGGTCTTACACATGCAAAGGCAAGAATTCTACCATCAAACTACATTCTGGGTAATATCTTTGGAATTTTTTGAGTAACTTTTATAAGCAAAGATGGCTAAACAAAGAAGTAGAAGAATAAAGAATTACTGATATTCATTAGACAATGTGAGCCCATTAATAAGTCATTGAAAAAAATAATCTCCATTTTTTCCATTAACATTTCATAGGTAAAAAGTGGAAAAGAGAAATGATTATAGAAAAACTGTTAAAGGAAATAAAACTGTCTTTGATGTGGAAAATGCTAAGTCAGTACATTTATTAATACCATATCCCACAGATCTATCATATTAATTTTTGCCATGTCAAAAACTGTGTGTATATATATACACACACATACATACATATATATACATATATATGTATACACACACACACACACGAAGGCATTTTGCAAGTGATTTGATTGAAGCAAAAAAGTATCCAGGTCACCTGCAAAGCAAATTCATTACGTGTATCCAAAGAGAATGGAGAAATAGGGAAAGCAAAAAGCAAAAACAGAGAAATAAAACAACCCAAGTTATAGTAATTTTTATTTTGCTTAATTGGTGGAGTGTCAATGTAGCTCACCTTAAAAATAGGGGAAGATCTTTTTTCTGCTGTTACTTCCATTGGAGTAACATCTTCACTCTTAATCATGCTGCTTGATATGAGTGGAGTGATCAGAGCATTTGGAAGGATAGTTACCTTATCCAAGTTACATCCAGTAGTTTTCATTGCTGCACATACACACACAAAGAAAGAAAAGTTTGAAACCACAAAAATCATCAACCACTCCACAGCACACTCCCATTAAAGTAGCATTAACTTAAAGGCGCCTAATATGGGCCCAGCACTAGCTAAGATATCAACAGCAGGTCTGTATTCTCTTTTGGACCACACTTGGCAGTGCTCAGGGATTACTACTGGCTCTGTGCTCAGGAATCATGCCTGGCACTACTCAGCAGGCCTTATGTGGTATCAAGGATAGAAATGCAACTGGCCAAATCCAAGGCAAGCCCCTTAACCTCTGTAGTGTTATCATTATTATTACGGGGGGCCATACCCAGGGATGATTAGGGGATACTCCTGGCTCTGCATTCAGGAATTATTCCTAGTGGTGCCTGGGGGAATGTATAGGATTTCAGGGGTAGAAACCAGGTCACCTGCGTACAAGGCAAGTACCATATCCACTTTACTTTCTCTCCAGCCCCTTATATTATTTTTAAGCAATAATCCCAAGAATCTTTCTAAGGTTCCTTGAACTGCACTACTCAAGACCACCAACAATATATTATAGGAAACATTTATCTGTATGGAAGTCTCCAAGAGGTTAAAACCATTTGATTACCATTGTTCACTCTTGGTATACGGCAGCCTGGCAGTATAAAGTCTCAGAACTTTATATATGAGTTTTTTTCAGTAGTGGGGCTCAAACCCAGGGCCTTATATGTGCAAGGCAAGGTGCTCTACTGCTCAGCTTCTCTCTGACTCTAAAGCCTCAAAAGTAATTTTGTTGCTTTTTGGGTTAGACTGGCAGTGCTCAAGGCTTACTCCAGGGTGCTTAGGAGATCATATGGGATGATGGGAATCAAATCTAGGTTGGCTGCATGCAAGTAAATGCCAGTCTGCTGTCCTCTCTCTCTCTCTCTCTGGTCCAGGCAAGGTAAATTTTATCATTATATTATTCCTGGTGGTGCTTGGGGGACCATGCCGGGGACTGAACCCAGGTTGGCCTATTAAGGCAAAGACCCTACGTGCTATACTATCACTGCAGCCCCCAAACAGTAGTTTTTTAAAAAAAATAGTTTTTAATTCCTAACATATTTTGGTTTTGGGATCACATCCAGTGGTGCTGAAGGTGGAGTACAGCTATTTTGAGCTTGGAACTTGGATCACTCCTTGTGGAGTTTGAGGGATAACGTAGTTCCAGGATCAGACCTGGGGCTCTGGCTCTTTGAGCCATCCCCTTGGCTCCTAATACCCCAACTCTTAGAATAAGGGAAAGGGTTTTTTTTGTTGTTGTTGTTGTGAATTAATCCCCCTCATCTGCATTGGGCTGGAGCGATAGTACAGTGGGTGGGGTGTTTGCCTTGCACGTGGCCGACGTGGGTCTGATTCCTCCGTCCCTCTCGGAGAGCCCGGCAAGCTACTGAGAGTATCCCGCCCGCGTGGCAGAGCCTGGCAAGCTCCTGGTGGCGTATTTGATATGCCAAAAACAGTAATAGCAAGTCTCACAGTGGAGACTTTACTGGTTCCCGCTCGAGCAAATCGATGAACAACGGGAGGACAGTGACAGTGCTACAGTGCATGTTTTATTCATTATCTCTCACCCCAGTTTTCTCTTCTTTCTTCTTTGTTGCCTAGACTGCCACTGGCACTTAGCAGAGCCTGCTGATACTGACACTAACAGTCCTCTGATCATTTAACCAAAGTCTGATTTAAAATCTAAGCACTACTTTGAGACACTGTGGACAGAAATACGAGCTTCTCTAAGAGGCATAGCTGTTAAATTTCTTACTTGATACTGAAAGAAATTTCAGATTCAGAGCAGGTATTTAATGGTATATTTAGTAGAAAAGATATTTTCTAAGCATTCTGGTTAAAATATTTTGAGAAGCTGAAGAGATATACAGCAGGTAGGGTGCTTTCCTTGCATGAGACAAATCCAGATTTGATCCCAAGCTCCCCAGATGGTCCCCTGACCCCACCAGGGAGTAAGCCCCAAGCACAGATGGTGTGGCTCAAAAATTCAAAGCACAAACTATCATTTTTCAATCCCAGAAAAGTGACCTTGGATAAGTGATTTAATCTTTCTGGAACCTCATGGTTCCTCATCTATAAAATGTGAATAAAAATGATCTAACACATAAAACTTGGAAGATTAAATGAGATAATATCAGTAAATAGTTTGGCGTATTATTCTACCACTTAACATATGTTCAACATTAGCAATGGCTATCCAGTGCTAGGATTTGTAAATTTTCCTGCAGCTGAATCAGATAATCTTGGAAACTTAATTAATTGCACAGTTTCTCAATAATCTACTCTGCAAAGTGTTCATGGTTAGAATTTATAGTATACTGAACACATACATAAGAATGCAGAATTCCCTCCTGAAAGCCATTCGGTGCCTGCTCTTCAAGCCCGCGTTCTCCCTTGAACATGTATCTTGCTTGCTTGTCTCTGTTTCTTTGCTTGCTTATTTCCACTTTGGAGAAGCCTGTCTTCTCCCTTGAACACATATTTCCCCTCTTTCTCTCCTCTCACATCTTTCTAAGCAAGTTTCATTCAATAAAAACTACCTTCCTTCACACATACACACACACACAAAAACAACAAAAAAACAAGAATGCAGAATTTTACTACTGACAGTAGAAAAAAGTTATAGTGTTTGATCAAATTCATTAAAACATATGCCGTGGGACTGGAGAGTTAGTATAGCAGGTAGGGCACTACCTTTGCACACGTAGACCTGGGTATAATTCCTGGCACCTCATATGGTCCCACAAGCACCACCACAAGTGATCCCTGAGCAGAGAGCCAGGAGTGAGCCCTAAACTTGACTGGTGTGGCTCAAGCACCCGCCTTTCCACCGCCCGAGCCCACAAACAAAACAAAGCACATTAAGCCCCTTAAGAACAAGTACTTTTTAATCTGGGAAGGGGAAGTATGGGGGTCTCCCAAGCAACGCGTAGGGGCCCCAAAACCACTCTCAACAACTCTTGGCTGCTTGAATGCTGGGGCCTGATGATGTGGTGCTTGGGCCTTAAGGTGCAAGGAACCACCAAAGGCCATACTTAACAGTCTTTGCATGCACTCTCACCCACATACTATTTCCCCAGTCCCTTAAATTTTAAATTTGATTTTTAACTTATGAATTTTAGGGCAGAAACATACAAGTAAAAGGCATATCATAAAGTAATTGACATCTTCATACAATAACTTGGTCTCTGGTTTCAATGTTGAGTACTAATCTTAGTGCATCAGGAATCTGTTTTATACACATTATTTACACATACTTTAAAGATTTTAATGGAGAATGGGGGAAATACCAAGTTGGGAACTAAGTCTGCATTTGAGTTAAACAAGTATTTATCTTACAATATGAAAGATACCTTGCAAATTATTCCAAGTACATAAAACAAAATAGTTAAAGACTTGTAAGAAATATACAGAACCATCTATTTACTGTTTTGGAGAAGAACCAACTTAGTACCTTTCATCGCCTCTTCAAAAGAGCAAGGCCTTGCAGGACTAGAAATTTCCTTCTTCACATTTACATTCAAAGCACCAGCTGTTGCTATTAAACAAAAAAAGTAATTATATTTAAGTTTGTTCATCTTAAAAAAATTTTTAACTGGTATACTTTTTCATAAAACATGAATAGAAACGCTAAGATATTTTTAAAAACTTTTTTGGGGGGTATAAGGGGTTGGGCCACATCTGACAGGTGCTCAGGTCTTACTCCTGACTGTATTCAGGAACCACTCCAGGGAGAGTTCAGGGACCATATGAGATGCCTGGGATTAAACATGGGCCCCTACCTGCAAGGCTATCCCTCTGGCCTCTTATTTTTATTAGCTTTTGTGCCACATCCATTGATGCCCAAGGCAAGCACCCTACCTTCTGTATGATATCCAGCACTAAAGTTAAGATGAATTCTTAACCATTAGTCTATGATAGAGAGTTCACCAAACCAGGTATCGGACAGAACCAGGAGTGGAAAAGAAGAGAGTCATGCTTGGGGCCAGAGCAATAGTACTGCGTAGTGTATTTGTCTTGCATGTGGATGATTCTGGTTCAATCCTCAGCACCACTTATGGTCCCCTGAGTCCTGCCAGGAGATCCCTATCACAAAGCCAGTAGTAAACCCTGAGCACCCTATCCACTGTACTCTCTCTGGTTCCAAAAGGAAAACAATTTTTAAAAAATGAACTTATAGGGACTGGAGAGATAGCACAGTGGGTAGGGCATTTGCCTTGCACGCGGCCAACCCAGGTTCAATTCCCAGCATCCCATATGGTCCCCTGAGCACCGCCAGGAGTAATTCCTGAGTGCAGAGTCAGGAACAACCCCTGTGCATTGCCAGGTGTGACCCAAAAAGCAAAAAAAAAAAAAAAAAACTTATGGATCAGAGCAATACTATAGTGGGGAGGGCATTTGCCTTGCACGCAGTCAACCCAGGTTTGATCCCTGGCATCCCATATGATCACCTCAGCACCGCCAGGAATAATTCCTGAGTGCAGAGTCAGGAACAACCCCTGTGCATTGCCAGGTGTGACCCAAAAAGAAAAAAAAAAAGAACTTATGGGCCAGAGCAATACTATAGTGGGGAGGGCATTTGCCTTGCACGCAGTCAACCCAGGTTTGATCCCTGGCATCCCATATGATCACCTCAGCACTGACAGGAGTAATTCCTGAGTGCAGAACCAGGAGTAACCCCTGAGCATCGCTGAGTGTGACCTAAAAAGAAGAAAAACACAAACAAAAAAAACTTATGGTAACAATTATCTAAATGTGATCAAACATAGCCTTATTTGTAAAATATTTAAAGCAGAAGGCTTACAAGTTTATCTACATTGTATTTTTCAAAGGGACATTTCTAATAATCAACATTTATCAGTAAGAAATGATTAATCCCTACTGATTGGGAGAAACAACCTGTACAGAATAATCACACAAGGGGCTAACATCCAAGATATATAAAGCACTCTCAAAGCTCAACAACAAAAACAACCCCATAAAAAAATGGAGAGAAGAGATAATCATAATCAGACATTTCCTTAAAGAAGACATAAAGATGGCCAACAGGTACATATAAAAATATTCATCACCAATTACCAGGGAAATGCAAATCTAAATGACTGAGAAACCTCACACCAGCAAGAAAGTCCTATATCCTGGTCTTTTAAAAAAGATGGGAAACAGTTAAGTGCTCATGGGCACGTGGTGAAAAAGGAACTCCCGTTCACTGCTGGCGGGACTGTTCATCCTCTTTGGAAAAAGGCTTGCAGACATCTCAAAATTTAACTTCCATCTGACCTAGTACCTCTGATCCTGGACATCTGTTCCAAGAACACAAAAACATGAATCTGAAAAGATATGTGAATTATCAATATTTACTATGGCACTATTTATGATACCCAAGATCTGGAAACAACCCAGGTGTGGTTTTTGGCCACACCTGGCAGTGCTTAGGGATCCTCTTGCAGGCTCAGGGGACTATATGTGGTGCTGATATCAAACACAGGTCTGGGGACTATACTGGCACACAGCCCATGGCAAACTGCCATCTTTCCCTGATACTTTTTTTTTTTTCACTGTATACTACATGGGGTTAGTAAACTTACAGATACAGAAGACTGGTTCATTCTGAAAGTATGCCCGAGACAGGAATGAACTGAACCAATGGTAAGCATGGCAGAAATCAAGCACTAAAGAAATTCCTTATCCAGAATGGTCTCTACTTTTGCCAGGAAATGCCACACCTGTGGGGTCAGGGGTTACTTCCAGTTATGTGCTTAGAGGGGAGGGGCTGCTTCTGGAAGGCTTGGAGAATACTGTGGTGCCAGAGATGGTACATGAGCCTTTCACACGGAAAGCGTTTCCAGTCCTTTGAGCCATCTACCTGGCCACAAGTTTTTGATATTTTTAACACAGAAGTTAGAAAATGCTATAGGCATATAGCTCCATGTCATTTTATCACTTATCACCCTAAGTTTACCTCCCCAAAAATGCATCCTATAAGTAAGTTAGAATAAATGATTAGCAGTTTCCAAAGTTGTCACTTTCACCTTATAAGGTATATTCAGTGAATGATAATTCCTATTACAAAATAACTTATGTTCCTGTAGGGGCCAGAGATATAGTACAAAGGGTAAGGTTCTTGCCTTGCATGCAGCTGACCTAGGATTGATATAGTCCCCTGAACACAGCCAGGGGTTACTCAAGAGAATAGAGCAAGAAAGAGCCCTTGAAGACCACAAGATATGGCACAAAAAGTCTCTCTTGCTGCAAAAGAAATTATTCCCTTAACAATGTGTAAAAGTAGTGTTAGTGGTTATCTTCTTAGGAAATATGCCATTTCAAAAAAAAAAAAAAAGACAAAGAAAAACCCAACCAAACCCAACTCAACCTAACTTGTTCATTTTATAACACATTTTTTTTATTTCGCTGGTCTTCTTCATATCTTTCCAAAGAACTGGAAGGTATATATGTTTAGTTCAGATATTTTTCTTTTAACATACCTGGGTCTGGAGTGTAAGTAAATGGCTGAACATCATGAGATCTTCCAGCATTGGTCACTACATATATTCCCACCGATACAGGTAAAGTTATATGTTGGTCATGATATGGAGGAACCTTCACAATCAGATGATTCTAATTTAAAGAAAATTATGAGTCAGAAAATAAACAATATTTAAATTTAAAAAATAATTATAATTAAGTATATTTCTGTTAGCTGTAAGGTTGGAAAAGTCTGAAGAGAAAACAGATTCACAGGCACGAGGACAATAATCTTAAGATTGCTTTGAAAGGGGCCAGAGAGACAGTACAGGGGTAAGACCTTGCATGCAGCTGACCCCAATTTGTATCCCTGGCACTGCATATGGTTCCTAAGCACTGACAAGAGTGACCTCTAAGCACTGCTAGCTGTGGCACGCTTCCTTCTCCCAAGAAGATTGCCTTTAAGGTAAAATTAAAATGTTTTACAACTTGTTCTTTGCCCTGTCAACTTCATCTCATCCTCATTCCTCACAAGGTCGCTACACACCAGCCACAGTGACTTGGTCCATTCTTTCTGTGAACAAAAATTCCTCCAAGCCCTTATACTTGCTTTTCTTTCCCATTCTTTCTTCCCGCTTTTATGGAACTAAGTCTGTACCCTTTTCAGGCATTATTCAAATGTCACCTCAAGGAAGCACTCTCTCATCATCCTCTTTAAAGCAGCACCCTGCTGTTACTGGTCACATATATTTACCTCTCTACTAGCCCTTATTGCCACTTGAAATTACTGTGTGTTTTCTTAATTTTCTTTGTCTCTCTCCAACCACAGAATGAATGCTTGATGAGAATTTAAGATTATTTATTCTTCTATTTCCCCTTCTAATAAGCACTTATACAAAATACACTCAAAATATGTGTGTTGAATTCAAGAATGAATCTTAAAAACAGAAGCCACACATGGCTATGATGGGAAATAAAGGATCAAATTTATAGCCTCAACCATACCGGGCATGTGTAACACCACTTGAATGATCTCTCTGACCCTCAAATGAAAATTTCTGAGGGGAAAAAACACCAAGCATGTTATCAGTTACATGTTTTGTACAACCTTAATAGGGAAATGTATTTCAATACACAGTTCACTGCTTTCTTAACTACTGTAATTTTCATTTACAGTAAAATAGGGTTCAGTTTATTTGAAACTATTTATTTTTGTCATAAAAGAGGCAGAAGGATCATTTTTTCTAGAACAGTGGAAAAAAACTGGAAGGAAGGGGCCGGGGACATAGGGCGAATGGTTGGAGCATGGAGCACCTGCTGAGAATGAGCAAGGTTTGAGTTTGATCCCTGGTTCCACATGGACCCCTGAACACCACTGGTATGGCCCTGTTGGTCCCCTAGCATTGCCAGGATGGCTCTGGAAGATCACAGCACCAACTGATTCAAGTAATACCGCATCACTGGGCACGGGTCTGAACAGCTGTCAGGCCAAATATAACTTGGAGTGGTCTCCAGGCCTGCTGTGTAGACCCCAAAATGGAAAGGAAAGGGAAAGAGTTTATAAATGTTTTACCGTAACTTGATTGAAGGTACTACAACCTTTTGGAGATGATCTAATTTTGTTTGTTTTGTTTTGTAGGAAAGTGCTCTACCCGCTATTCTGTCCTAGTGCCTGGAAGCTAATTTGAACCGTATCTGACATTTTCTCCTCTTTCTTGATATACTATAGTAGCACTGTAGCACTGCCCTCCCGTTGTTCATCGATTTTGCTCGGGCAGGCCCAGTAATGTCTCCATTGTGAGACTTGTTACTGTTTGGCATATCGAATAAGTCATGGGTAGCTTGCCAGGCTTTGCTGTGCAGGCGAGATACTCTAGGTAGCTTGCTGGGCTCTCCGAGAGGGGCAGAGGAATCGAACCCGGCTTGGCCGGGCCTGCTTGGCCGGGCCGGCTGTGCGCAAGGCAAACACCCTACTGCTGTGCTATTGTTCTACCCCCATACTGGTGCTAAACCATACTATAGTAATGGGAAGAAATACCAAGGAGAAATGATTATGTTTTAGGACATGATTTACAGGTGGCTGATTCACCTACTGACAGTTGAAGCTAAGGTAAATTTGTTTTGTTTTTGGGCCACATCCAGCTATGCTCCTGGCACTGCACTCAGGAATCACTCCTGGTGGTGCTTGTTGGGGTTTATATGGGATGCTAAGGATCAAATCTGGACTGGCTATATGCAAGAAAAATGGCTTACCCACTGTACTTCTTTTTTTTTTTGAGAGTGAGGTAACTTTGATAACAATTTTTATTTTGTTAGACAATAGTTGGTTGACTCACGTAAACAGCCTTGTGACAAATGGGCCAAAGTTCAAGATTTCAATTTCTAAGCCTTCAATTTATTTCTTAGTCCTCTTAAAACACTCTTAGAAACAGTTACATGATAATTATTTCTGATTTATGGCATAATAATGCCTCCTAAGTCAGTTAACTATTTTTCTTTTTGGGGGGTACGGGAACACACTTGGCTGTGCTCAGGGCTTTCTCCTGGCTCTGCACTTTGGAATCACTCCTGGCAAGGGCTGGGGGACAATATAGGGTGCCAGAGATTGAATTGGGGTTGGTCAAAGCAAGCACCCTACCCACTGTATTTTTCAGCTCCGCATATAGTCAGATATCTTAAAACAAACTATGCTATTAAAACCAGGTGAGAAACGTATGTAGGGGGGCAAAAACATGAGAGACATAAATACATTGTCCTTCAAAAACACATTTTTATCAATCCAACTTATTATTGTCTTGAATCTTGTCTACCCTCATTTTTACTTTTTAAATCCAACAATTATGCCACAAAGTCATCCTATCTAGAGTTAAGGAGATAGTGGAATGGGTAGATTTAGTATTCTAGTCTTAAAACTATTTGGCAAATTCCTATCATCGAAATTATTTTTCTGAACAAAAGGAATAGTTTCTGGTAATTAGTGATAAGAAATCAGTATATAAAAAACAAATTTGTACCTTATCAGTGTGCTTCTACTCCACTTGCTTTGAGAATACAGTCAAAGAAGCCTAATTTAAACCCTTTCAAAAACTAAATGAGCTTATTTGGTTACTACTTTTTCAAGTTTCCTCAATCTGAATCTAGAAATTCTACTAAGTTAGGAAGAGGCGGACTACAAGGGATACAAGGACAGTGGTGGAGGGTCTTTGGCACTTGGGGACCATATGGGGTACTGGGGACCGAAACCAGGTCAGCTACATGCAAGGAAAGCACCCTATGCACTGGGCTATTGCTTTGGTCCCTATTTTTAACTCTTACACTCTAAAATGTGCCACATAAGGAATCCAGAAAACTAAAGCTGATAGTTACAATTTACAATTTTCTCTTTCGGAATACACTAAATAGTGTATTCCGAAAGAGAAATAGTGTCTAGTCCATGTTTCATAAAACAAGTCACTCATAAAATTATATGCCTATTCGGAGTTTCTCATATATTTGTTTTTAGCTTTTAGTCTCTCTCTCTCTCTCTCTCTCTCTCTCTCTCTCTCTCTCTCTTCCCCCCACCCCCCCCCCCACACACAATCTACAGCATTTGATATATATCAAACACAATTAAGGTCACAAAGAAAAAGAACTCATCTAAGTTTGTTAAAATGAAAAGATACAGAGATACAAAGACCATATGTGTGCCTTTTCAATTTGTTACAAGAACAGGGGACTTAGAAGCAAATATTAAACTATTAAACTAAAGTTTTTACCAGAATTTCTTATATAACCAGAAATGTTTAATTTTGTAGTTATAAGTGAATAGCTATCACAATTATTGATAAGTCTGCGAAATTATCTCTAAAATTTTTTATCTATAATATCATATTCTGGGCATTTTAAATTAATTATCTATTTTGGAGCCACACCTGGTGATACGCAGACGTTATTCCTGGCTCTGCACTTAGGCATTATTTCTGGCGGTGCTTGGGAACCATAAGTAATGCTGGGGATAGAGCCAGTTCAGTCATGTGCAAAGCAAGTGCTCTACCTGCTGTACGATCTCTCCAGCCTCATTTAAAATTTTTATTTATTTATTTTTTGTTTTGAGGCCACATCGGCATTACTTAGGGTTACTCTTGGCTTTGACCTCAGTCCTAACTCCTGGAGTGTCTCAGGGACCATAAGGGTTCCTGAAATTGAATGCGGATCTGAGTGCAAGGTTAAGTATCTTAATCACAATCTTTCTGGTTCCTCTGGGCATTTTTTAAATAGAGATGCTTTTTCAAATATCTTGTATAAACCTGACATTCCTTCATATTCAGCGATTCTTTTCATATTCAGTGACCACTTCATATTCAGTGACCATATTCAGCGATTCTTTTCTTTCAGTACATTTTCTGAACACATTTTTCTTTAAATATTTATTTCCCAACAAATATAAAATACCTGCCTGGCACACAGCAGCTACTCCACTTTTCCTTGGGCTGGGGAGAGAGTTCGAGAGCTAGACTAGGGCGTGTTTTGTAGGCAAAGGCCTGGGTTTGATCCCCAGGATTACACGGGTCCAGAGAACTAAATTAGAAGTTGCCCTGAGCACCACAGGACATGGCCCCAAAACAAAACAAAAACAAACGCTTCTCTTTGTTTTAAATAAAGAGCAAATTAAGGTAATCCAAATTATCCAAGCAAATATTGGATTTATTAGCAAAGGGATTTAATGTTTCATCTTTTAAAAATAGAGAGTTTTCCAGGCTGGAGAGAGAGTGCAAAGGCTGAGTGCATGCTTTGAACTCAGGAGGCCCAAGTTCTACCTCTGGCACTACCTTTTTGCCCGAACACTGCGAGAAGCATCCCCCAGCACAGAGCTGGGAGGAGCCGCCAGCATTGTCAGGTGTCATTGCCCCCTCTCCCACTGCCCCGAAGTGTCATTTGGTCATCAACACTTAATTTTATGTCAGGTAAGAAAACAGAAGAAAAAATCTTCACTTAAATGACTTAGAATAGACACAAAGAGGAAATTTAATCGGTGATTCAGGAGAATTTTGAAACAAAATGATTTCTCAGAGTAAATAAACTACAGAAAGGTTGAAATTATACCTGATGAAATAATTCCATGTCGATTTCAGCTTCTGACTTCCAGGAGTTTTCATCTAATAAATAAACAAACAGTGACTTAATAAATTTTTAAAAAATATTTTACTTTTAGCTGTGATTATTTGCAACCAAGTGAGACATACAAAAGCCTGTATTCCAATTTTATGACTACTTACCAGAAACATTCTCTTGAAAAATAACTTTAGTTCCTTTTAGAAAATTTTTGCCGATTAAAAAAACTTCTTCTTCTCCTTTCACTGAACAGCTATGCAAGCTTTTCTTTAGAATTTCTGGCACTCCTGCTGGCTGAGCTGTAGGAATACATTAACATTCCATAAAAACAAAGCCACTAACATTCATTTCCCATCTATAATCAGCTCTTTTATAGGCCTATTAGTTGTCTTTATTATCTCTGAATTTTATTTCATTCATTAATTTTGTTTGTTTTTCCTGCTTACCAGGGGCTGGAAGGAGGGAGACAGGGGAGTTAATGTTTTTGTATTTCTGTTATACAAGGTAGGTCCAGTTTTTTTTTTTTTTAATTTTTATTAGTGAAACACCATGAGGTACAGTTGTAGATTTACAAATTTTTGTGCTTGGGTTTTGATTATACAATGATCAAATACCCATCCCTTCTCCAGTGCCTATTTCCCACCACCATGGATCCCAGTATCCCTCCCACCCCCATTCCCCACTCCCACCCTGCCTCTGTGGCAGGGCATTTCCAAGGTAGGTCCAGTTCTACCACTGAGCTACACCCCAGGCTCTTGGCTTGTATTTTACAACTTAACTTTTGCACTAACAGAGAAAAGAGGGAAAAATGTCAAAGGTCATGCTACATTTTGATAGTACAGTAAAATTCTGAGATAAAATTATTATCTAAGATATTTTAATTTATTATGTCATCTTTGCTCAGTTTAATAAATCATAAAAATGTCCCAAAATATGAACTTGGTCAACTTCTTATTTTTTACATTTTGGGTCACATCCAGTGATGATCTCAGGAATTACTACTGGCGCTGCTTGGGGAACCATATGGGATGCCAGGGATTGAACCTGGGTCGGCTGCATGCAAGGCAAATGCCCTCCACACTATACTCTTGCTCCAGCCTCCATTTTTTTATCCTAATACTTAAAAAATTCAATTTGAAGAACAAGCGAGACAGCAGAGGAGTTAAAGTGTTTGCCTTGCAAGTGGCTGACACCACATGGTCCTCCAAGAATCATGGGGGGTGTAGCCCTGGAGTCCCGGAACACCACTGGAATGGCACGGGTATCCTACACCTTTATCTATACAGAGATCAAGAGAAGGGTATGTATGATGTGAGGAATGAACCAAGGCCTCATGAATGCAATGAATATTCTGTCATTTTATCGACCTATATGTATTTTTTACTGCAGCTGATAGAGTAGGGGTGGGCTGTGGGAGGGGGAGCTCAGAGCCATTCTCTGTCTTGCTGGGGTGAGGGTGGGAAGTACAATCAGACCACACACAACACGGCCGAGTGAGAACATGACAAGGTGAACACGCAATATGTGTTCTGTGACTGAGTCTGATAAAAAATTTTCTTTAGGGGGGTATGGTGCCGCCAGCAGGTCAATCTGTACCTGTGAGGCAAGTGCATCAGCAGCCTGATGGAACCGTCAGGCCTTCAGATACCCCAAAATTGCTGCTGTGCCTTTGGCCAGACCCCAAAAACTTGGGGCAAAGTTTACCAAGAAAGTAAACAGCCAAAAGTTAGGTATGTGGGAGACATACCCACAAACCACCTCCGGCTCAGCTATATAATTGGAGGCATGGCCTTTCTGGTTCCTGATCAAACTGCTTAACAGCTATGATCCCAGAGGCTCAGAAACGAATCGCGGAACTCAAAAGCTTTTGGCAGGAATGAATCCTGTTCCTGCAGTAGGTTCCTGGGGCTGGGCCACTCCAGGTGGGAATAGGTTTCGTGCCTTGGCCTGTTCTCCTTGGCAGCCTGGTGACCGTCATCCTCCAGAGGCCACAGAATAGTCAGGTTTGGGCCTGCAGTGACGAGACACACGGGGCCTCACCAGATGGGGGTGGAACTGGCCCTTTCCTCCCATCCCAGCAAGACCTCAAGTTGCCGCCTACAAACAGCCTCTCTGGCTCCTGATCAAGCTGATTAATGGCCATGATTCCAGAGACTCAGAAACAAATCTTGAAACCCAGCGGCTTTTGGCAGAAATGCATCTGGACCGCATACACGGCCATGGCTCCAGAGGCAAAAGCTTATTCCAGAGCCTGACAGCTTGTGGCAGATAAGTGAATGGACCCTGCATTAAACTACGGCACCATGCATCCCCAGGAGGAAAAGGGTGTTACTCCCTTCGCCTTTCTCCCCCCAGCAGGAAGGCGGCTGCCGCCTCAGAGCTTATTGAAAAGCCAGGTATGAGCCGGCAGTGACAGGGCAACTGCAGTCTCATGGGAAAGGGGACGGTACCGGCTTGTCCTTCATGCCCTACCGAGGTCACGAGTTGCCCCCCACAAGCGGCTCTCCGGCACGGCCATGGTTCCAGAGGCAAAAGGACTTAATCCAGAGCCCGGCAGTTTGTGGCAAAAAAATGAATGGACCATGCATTAAACTATGGCGCCATGCCTCCCCGGGAGGGAAAGGATATTTCTCCCTTCTGCCTTTCTCCCCACTGGCAGCAAGGTGGCCGCCGCCTCAGAGCTTATAGGAAAGCCCGGTATGAGCCAGAGGTGATGGGGCAACTGCAGTCTCATGGGAAGGGGGGCGGTACCGGCTTGTCCTTCACGCACTACCGAGGTCCTGAGTTAACCCCCACGAGTGGCTCTCCGGCACAGCCATAACACCAGATGCACAGAAACCAATCTCTAAATTATCTGGCTCTTTGCAGAAATCCAAAATTGCATGGCCACAATAGCAACATTATATGATTCTCATAACCAGCTATAGAAAACAAAGTATTTCACAATGCCTTTTCAGCAATTCTGATTGGGGGGAAATTCTAAACAATAATGGTGCATCTTTTGTTGAAATGATGAATGTAATCAATGTAGAGAAGAGTTAAGTAGAAATCATTTGCCTCATAGGCATTGGGTGGGGTGGGAGGGGGTGTATACTGGGGTTCTTGTTGGTGAAATGTGAATACTGGTGAAGCGAAAGGTGTCTGATTATTGCATGACCGAGACTTAAACCTCAAAGCTTAGTAACTTTTCCCACAGTGATTCAATAAATAAATATAAGACGAAAAATAAATAAATAAAACTATGAAAAGAAAAAAAAGGTGGAGTTCATGCCCAATTCAATCAGCTAATCAGTGGCTGAATAAATAGCAGTCCTCCTACATAAAAAAAAAATTTTTTTTCTTTAAGGTTCTAGATACAGGATTCAGTGGCTACATATCAAAATATCAAAAGAACACCTGAAAATAAGGCTGAACCCAATTCAAGGTAATTTTTTAAAATGACTTGTTTTGGGTTTTTGGTATTAGGTGCTGAGTTCTGGCCCTGTCTTAGAATCTCTCCTGGCTTGGCTTGGGAGAACCGGATGAGGTGTTGGAGATGAAACCCACGTTGGCTGCGTGGAAGGCCCTACCCACTGTCCCATCTTCCTTGCCCTCAGCATGTCCAAGGAATTGTTCTACCTCTAAGCCACACCATGCCCCACAAAATGATTCTTTTAACAGTTTTTTTTTTTGTTGTTGTTGTTGTTGTTCCTGGGCCACACCCAGCAGTGCACAGGGGTTACTCTTGGTTTTGCACTCAGGAGTTAGTTCTGGCAGTGCTTATGAGACCAAATAGGATGCTGAGGATCAAATCTGGGTGGGCTGTGTACAAGGCAAGCGCCCTACATACGGTACTATTGCTGACCCCTCAAAATAATTCTTTATATCCAAGGATCATTCCTAAATTGGTATAGTCTGAAATTAAAAAATGAAGTGCAGTTTTCAGTTATAAAAACTAACCACAGTTTAAATTAAAGAGGCTTACAAGTTTTGAGCAGCCAGATCTAATGAATAAACTAATTACTTACCAATTTCTGCAAGCCAGGGTTTGCAGAAATGAAAACTTAGTAGGTATTACTTAGCTAAACTGGTTCCAAAGTCAAATAAATCTGGGAGACACTGAATCAAGCAATTTATATAAGCAAAAACATTTCTTCTAGTATTTTCTATTCTGGTATATTTTACAAAAGCCCAAGGAGCAAGTATTGCATACTGTCTCCCAAATGGATTTCATTTTATTATTATTGTTCTAACTTTTTGAGTTTTTGGGCCATACCGTGTGGTATCCAGTGCTTATTCCTGGCTCTATGCTCAGGAATTATTCCTCGTAGAGCTTGGGGGACCAAATGGGGTGCTGGGGACAGAACTCTTGGAGAGCAAGGCGAGTAACCCACCCTATGTACTAACACTCAGGCCTCGTTCCAATGTGTTTGACTCCAGAAACGTTCTCTCTTATTGATACTTTAACAGCTTCTACCAGAATAATCTCTGGAATAAGAAGCATCCAATTATATACCTTGTAAATACAAAAAAAAAAGTAATTCCCCTTGGGATGGGCTACCTCCTTCTACTTCCCAATACTCCTGGAAGCACTGGTGAACCCCCCCATGAACCAACTACAGTGCCACCACATACGCTCTACCAACCTTGCTTCAAAGACCCATACATACATCTCAAAAGAGATCAAACGCTGCAGTTAATCTCGGACCACACAAGGCTGAACAGACTGGGGTAAATTGAAGAGGGGCAGGCCAGCCTGGTGCCCGCACAAGTAGAGCCCCATGCAGCTGCTTGCTCCCACAATCAAAATTGCCGCCATACCCCTGGCCTGACTCCACAGTCACAGGACAGATCTCATCGAGACGCAGCACTGTAGCACTGTCCTCCTGTTGTTCATCGATTTGCTCCAGCGGGCCCAGTAACGTCTCCATCATGAGACTTGTTACTGTGTTTGGCACACTGAATACGTCACGGGGAGCTTGCCAGGTTCTGCTGTGCAGGCAAGATACTCTCGGTAGCTTGCCGGGCTCTTCGAGAGGGGCAGAGGAATCGAACCCGGCTCGGCCGCGCACAAGGCAAATACCCTACTGCTGTGCTATTGCTCCAGCCCATCAAGACATAATCTGCTGAAAATTCTGGTATGGAGGTTTTGTGACTGAAATTCCCAGGCTTTCTTTGGGTTGGGATAGGCTACCTCTCCCCACCTCCCTGTGCTTCCAGAAGCCTCGGCAGTCACATCTACACCCCAAAGCTGCCACCCAACTGAAAAGCTACTCCAGTCTTACCATCCTGATAAAAATACCGAATGCCTTGAACAAAC